TATCATCAACTGCTATCACCGACCGACGAAGCTCATGAGCACGAATTAAATGTGTTCTACTATCTGTTGGAGGAAGTCAACCGCAATGATAAAGCATATCATAAATTTGTTGTCGGAGACTTCAACGCCAGCATAGGAAAAACCAACGAGAGCGAATACAGGATCGGAAATTTCGGATTAGGAGAAAGAAATGAGAATGGGAACCGTCTAGCAGAACTCCTGCTCGCATTACCCGTCTTTGGAAACTCGTTTTTCCAGAAGAAAGAAAGCCGCCGCTGGACATGGGAGTCTCTTAACAGCATGACTCATGCGGAGATCGACCACATTCTGACAAACAGATGGTTCCTACTTGATACATCGATAGTCCCGTCATTCTGTACTGGTTCCGATCACCGCCTTCTTCGCGTGAAGATCCGACTCAGCCGCAAGCTGGAAAAGAACTCTCTTCATGGGCCACGAGGAAAAAGTCTAGCTTTATACGACGAGAACATTCTGAACGAAGTCTTGTCCAAATGTGACTGGCAGATTAAAGAAGACCCGACCGATGACTGCGAGCTGCTTGTCGAAGGACTGAAAACCCGTGCCGAATTCGCCTCAGTTCCCCAAGCAGGAAGATCGGATCGCATCTCCATCACTACTAAGGAGTTGCTCGAAAAGAGAAGGAAACCGAAGCTTGATCTTACTGCAACACGTTTAACATGGCTAGTAATAAATGCCAGCTGCAGAAGAGTTTTGCAAGAAGATATACAACGGTAAAAGGAGAAGAAACTACTGGAGCCAGAAGGGAAAAGAAACAGTCTGAAAAAATACCGTCGGGACTTGTGTGATTATAATGTTCCGCTGTCAACCCTGATGAACGAAGATGGGATCGTCAAAATTTCCCGCCATGATTTGGAATTAATAGCGGAAAATACACCAACTTTTCCGTTCAACAATTCCCGTGCCGGACCCTAATATCCCTGCTGGAGAAGAACCAGCTGGAATTCTTCCGTCGGAGATTCGTTTACTAGTTCTCGCAAATCATATGACATTCTACCTTCAAAAGGAAAAAATCCCAAACCAGTGGAGGACGTCGCGCACGGTCATCCTGCCCAAGAAAGGACACCAAAGGGATCCTCGTAACTATCGTCCCACATGCTTGTTAACTGTACTCTGCAAGCTCTTCACGAAGATTATCCTCTTGCGCATATCAAGGACATTGGATGAGGCGCAACCTGTGGAGCAAGCAGGCTTTTGAAAAGAGTTTTGCTGTATGGACCACATCCAAACCGTGCCCAGGGTCATGAACGTTTGTCGGGAATATTACTTGCCTTTAGTTTTAACCTTTGTCACTACGAAAAAGCGTTTGACAGCGTCGAAACGAACACCATCCTATCAGCGCTCGTCGACCAAGGAGTGGACCCGTCCTACATACATAACTCTAATAGAGACCTGGGTTGATACTTCAGCCACGTCAAGAATGCTTCGTACCACTCACAGAACGCTTCAGCGATTTGTTCTGAAATATAACCGGCATTCTCAATATCTAGCTGGAATGCGAAGCTCTGACCTTCGAAATCGGTCACATCTTCGAGATCCAGGAGAATATACAACGATAGCGAAACATAGATGGGCGTTTACCTAATGAGAAGAGCCGACGACAGATGGACGAAAAGAACAGTAGAGTGGACTCTAAGAGAATGCAAACGTCCTCTTGGACGACCGCTTACACGTTGGGTGGTCGTGTTCGTAAACAAAGTTAATCAGCTGTACCCGCACCTACAGTTGTTTTGCAGATCACGGAATGCGACTCGCACGCACTACCATTCTCGAACAAGACCACCACCATGAACTACGATTGCGAGAGAAAGGAATGAATGGCAAATGTGCTGGAGTCCACACAACTCGTGAAGACGGATCGTCCAACTATCCAAGTAAGTAAGTAAGTACTTTTTAGCAGTTTTTCTAAAACATCGTTTCAATTTCAAATTTGCTTAAAAGTCAAATCTATAAAAAGTCGAAAAAATGTCTTGTTTTATGAAACATTAAGCCACTTAGGCGTTCGAAGCAGTGGCCGGAAAAAGAAGAAAAAAACCTATGAACTCCAACAACATTTTATCACCGTAGAATAGGATGTCTTTAAGGACTTCATTGATAATGATCTCGAGACTACAATGGTTTTTACTTGAACCAGTTAACCACACTATGAGGTACTTCTTAATGCTGAGATGAATGACAACTCCTGGATACTCATGCATTGAAACAAATGCATGCATCTGTAGATGTTATTGGTCAAAAATACGAAAGATTGGAACTCAGGTTTTCCAAAGTTTTTTTCACTAGCCCAGCAACAGCTTATATCAGCCATACATCACAAGACACCATCATGTTCTGCTGGACGAATTCTCAATTTTTTAAATTGCTTCGGTGTTCGAAATATAATCCTGACTGAAAATGGCAATGAGAAAGAGTTCCATATGCACCAAAAATGAGAATTCTTCGTCGAGAATGAACTTGGACCTTTTTGGCAAGGATCTGCAAATATTTTCTACCGTTTCCCATCTAAATTAACAAAGTACGCTATGAGTTTTTTCTGGAGTCGGATAGCGTAATTACTTTCGAACACAAAATCAATGACTACTATTTCGTATGATTTCGTCATCTTTGTGCATGTCGCGGAATGCGGATAGAGTTGATTCTCCCCTAAGGCGTTCCCAGGTGAATTGTAGGAGAGCGTTGTGGAAGTATTGTCAGTGCTTCCTAATCAACAGCATCACTAATAACTGCGCTGCGCCATCTTCCCTAATGGTTACGACTCTCCGGTTGGTACCAAGGACTAATAAATCAAAGCTTCACGTATGAAAAAGCAGTGCAAATAAAATTTGCGTACTCGATGGAACCTTCTTTTTCGTGCTTACGTTTACGAGTTTTCGCACATTCAGATAAGAAAGAACGAAAAGTCGAAGAATTTGACCCATAGCCAGGTGGTAGTTGTTCTCCTAACTCGATTTTCGATGCTTTAAGAATCTCTGGAGCCGCTCGTCTTTTATCATGTACACTTCATAACTCATACCGAAACCTACACGTTTCAGGTAAATATGATTTTTTGGACTCAACCGAAATCCAATTCTTATATGCAAGCTGTTGAATCTGACAAGACTTCGCTTAATGTCGCCAATGATACCACTCTCCTTACTCTGATGATTACAGAAAGTAACATGAAACTCTGGATGAGAGAAATCAGTGTGTAGCAGACCAAGGAATTTTGACTATTGAGTAGCGAAGCCATGTTTGGGCAAAGCTTCCGTGACAGTTAGCTTGTCAGTCAGATCGGAACCTCATCTGATTTGTGAGAAAGCCATAAAAACTTCACATATAAAAAAGCAGTGCACAAAAAAAGACCAATTGCTTGCATGTGAATGAAGACATCTTTTTAGTATGCAGTAGAGAAACGTGTGTTTACTCTCTTGCTAATATTTGACAGAGAACCAGACCAAGAATCGATGAATTCTAAATTTTCACGGCCAACAAGCAACAGCTGAAGGAATACTTTTTCTGACCATCACAGCTTCGGAATCTTGTACTTTGTAGTTCGTTGAAGCAATTCGTGACAACAACGGTAAAACATGAATGACGATTTTAATTCAGATTTGACTGCTTGGATAGAGGATGCTGCTCTTTGTTCCAACAAACAACTTGGCGAAATCATCAATTACCGACTCGTCTAAGCATCACGTTATAGTTAACAAAACAGACTACACTCAAACCTGCTTCCAGTTTTTGACCAAGAATCCAACATGGGTTCTACGAAAGAAAGACATGGAGTTTTGCTTGTGAATAAACAGCCGTTTCAAAACGTGATTATGTGACTGAAACAGCCTCGATATTGCTAGAGTTTCGGGACACTTATACTCTTTCATGTCATCACTCGTAAGGATCGTGAAATTTATGTCAAAACAATGAAGTCAAAGATACAAAGTAACAAAAAAAAAACTGATAAACCAAGCATCGGTTTTAAATAAAAATCTTGATAACTTTGACTACATTTTCATTTGCGATTTTACTCATTCAGAACACAACTTTAGTCAACGACATGTTCACTATTATTATTAGTACGTCATTTTTCGCGTCCTAGACCCTTTACCCAAAAGAAAGGCTGTGAATCGACAGTACTTTTTTTGAGGTTTTATCAGTTTCGAACTTCTCGCGCGTTAGGGAACGGAACAATCGATAGTACGAAATCAATACCTCATGACTACAATAAAGTTGCTATATGGTAGTTTAAGCCAACTCCATCGGTTATCTTCGAGTCAGCTCTGTGATGTATCGATGCAATGAGCATTGCTACGCAAAAACCAAACTGAGCCGCTTTCGTCGATTGTGAATTGAGTTCTTCTTCAGAAACATCCACAATCGCATGGACCGGTTTTCGAGTAATCATAGGGGTTATTTCTGCTGCGAAGCCAAAAAGCAGTGCGCATTTTGTTCTCATAGTTGATCCATCACTCATTTCAAAGTCTACCTTAGATCTAAGTGTCGAACCAAACAGTAGAGGCTCACTTTCAGTCTCATCCGGTAATGCATTAAGTTGAGCTGCTGGTCGGTGATTATGCACCACAGTAGACAGACACTATTTCTAACTTGCATGTGTTCAAAAACAGGCAAAGGAATTATAAACAAAAGCCGTCAAGTTTTAATGTCACACCTTTAGTAACAAATGTAATAATGCGGATGATTAAAGGCGCTAAATAAATTGTTCCAGACAAAAAATATGCACACTATTCAGGAAAACCTCCATGAGTACAGTAAAGCTTCCAAAGGTACTTCTTCTGGCATCTCGAGCTTGGTTACTTTGTTTGCTTTTAATAAGATTCGTTCGTAAAAAATATCATAACTTGTATTTCAATTTTTCGTTGCAATCCTCATCATGAAATGAGGACTTAAGGACATTCAGAAATAGCGCATCATTAGTAAATGAACATGAAACCATACCTACTAAACTAGTTGGTTTGAAATGTTGATTATACCATACCTGAATCGGGAAGTGAATTAAGATCACCACATATTAGTACGGGTGTTTGCTGAGGAGTTATTCGAAATTGTTCAGCTACCTAAAACATGTTTAGTACCATATAAAACAAAAACACGACCATCGAGTAAGTACACAGAAATGGAGTTACGTAAGGTTCTGGGATTTGTACGAGAAAACACACCTCTTCAAGAAGTTTGTAAAGTTCGTGCGCCAGCATCATAGTTTGAATCAACTTCACGTCGCATAGCTCGGGATCCCAATGGATATGTGCAGTACAAACTACAAGTGGTGTACCCACTACATTATCTGCCGCAGCCATTGTCATACGTCCTAAGATCACGAGCATTTCAATAAGGTCTATCCAGACATATATCTAGATCCAGAGATCTGAGATATTGGAGAAAAAACTGAAGAGTGGAAGCAACTCACTGTTGTTATAGACGTTCTCCTTGATTCGCAAAACAGCGCACAACGCAATGTTATCTCGAGGCATTACGCGATTAAGCATGTGTTCAGAAGTCGAGGCTTTTTTCACAACAACTTGTGTGAACTCGATAAGGTGTTCACGATCCATTTCAAACCTAAGCATAGAGTTATGCAAACAGTACTGTAAAACTTTCTCTTCTTAATTAATGTCTGATAATTGGGTTTGTCACAGTCAAAAAATTTTTAAGCGTAAAAAGTAGGTTATTGAATGGAACCCTACTTTTCCGACTTCCAAAAGATTGCGCATCCATCTACGTACTTCCGATCCTCTTCATTCATAGTTTTTGCGCGCGACTTTGGTGAAAAAATCCCACTGTATCCTAGCATCTTCAGTTCTGGTTGAAACAATAGACGAAATTGCTCCGTTTCAACCTCCTATAATTATAGATAAAAAGAAATAGCTGTAGATATTTGTGTGGTACCGAAACTTCACTAATAAGGTCTCGAGTTGTTTCGGTCGAATAAATGGAAATACACCATCTCGTGACGATTTCGTATCTTTCCTAGTGACGAACTAATACGGGGACCATTGGTAACAAAAAGGTGCACCTGTGGAGTGTTAGGTGAAATTTTGGCGCCAACATAAGTTACATTGCGTATACAAGGAAATACGAGGAAAATCGAAAGGAAATAAAAATCGTCGCGCATGTTTGGAAACCGAACCCATACATCAAAGTAATCCTGTTCATTTGGTGTTAAATGACTTCGAATAATACACTGAATATGATGCTGGTTTTTCGATAACTGGATGTTTCAGTAGATAGAGTACGTAAGAACTTAAGAATTTCACTGTGTTATTAAAAAGGCTTCAACACCACAACCATGTCGAAAACGTTTAAAATTCAAGATTTCGGAAGAAAACTTAACAGACGTTCCTCTCTTCTTGAACTATAAACTCAAACGTGGCAAATGCAAACATCATCGAAGCAACAGTGAGCAAGCACTATGACATATTTACATTTAGAGGACAGCGTGTGTTGACTTCCACTCATACGGTTCGTAAGTAACGGCTGCTTTCAGCTTCAAATGAACAGGTCTCAGTTCAAAGTAAACTTTATTAATTGCAATTAAAAGCGGCGGAATCCACAATTCGCCGGTTACAGCATAAAAGCTCTTTGAGTTTACCACGATAAACTTCTGACTTTTTGCCTCATCAAACGTTCTTATGAAATTTCAAAAAAAAAACCCAACCCACACGCTAGAACCGATTCACCACAGTCTCTTCTCTAAATCAGTCATGTTTTCAACTCCTTAAGTATCTCTAGATATCAAAAAATTACCAGCAATTTGCAAAAAACCAGGTTTGAGCACGAAATGTTCAGGACTATATTTCGGTCGTAGAATTTTCGCTGTTCGCAATACACTAAACAGTAAAAATAATAAGCGTTATAATATAAATTAAAGCGCAAGAACGCGAAGAAAGACCTGTGACTTCCAAAAAAACGAGAACTTCACCAACGCGGAATAGGAAAAGTTACGCCTTATTTGCAAAGATCTATAGATCCTAATGATTTTATCTGAATCAATACAGTTCACAATGAGAACAGAGACGTTTGCTCAACTGCTAGATACGGAAATATGTTAATTCAATAATATGAAAAAAAAATAACCATGTAAATCTTATATATGTACTTGTATCTACTGCAAGACTACCTGCAATGTAATGATGTCGGCCTCGTAGTTACGAATTTCCTTCATAATAGACATCTTCCTATATTCCCAGTTTAAAGCCCATGATGGACAGTAGGAATACTGATTGACGGTAGCGTATTTATCACATAGGACGTTGTAACACAAGACGGTGAAAGTGGCTAAAACAACTCCGTTCATTAACGGTATGGAAACAATGTATTCTTATGCATTACAAGTTCCAATCAACAGCCTAATATTTTAAAACTCAGTAAAAAAAAAGCTTTAAGAGCACTTCTATTGACAACAAAGGAATGAAAATGCCGCTTTGAGAGCAGTGGAAACCGATCGCAAGCTATAAAGATCGACTGGATGATGATTCCAGGGTGACGCGAAATGTTAAAGGTGAAAGCAAGAGTCTTGGTTGGCATGTTGTATAACACATAAGAGCCAGTGACAGTAATTCTAGGCTCAAAGCCCTCTTGAGGATCCGAGGTTTTTGTATATCTCGACGTCCTTATGGTTGTATTTCAAATTACATCCTACCACGAAAAGAAAATAGGTAATAAATAAAAAGTTAGTATATGGTGATCTGGCGCCCTGTAATACAAATGGGACCGATCCCCGCGCTCTAGGTTCACCAAGCCTTTCATCCCTCCGGGGTATGCAAATTGGTACCAGACTTCTCTGGGAGAGTAGCAGCACTGACTCGATAGATCGGTGGGCCAGCGCGAGTCACTGTAAAGCCCAGATATGCATTCAATCACCTTCAAATGAAGTCGAATGTATGACGCATCCCTTATGTATTGATCAACGCTGACAGCTTCACCCTTTATTTTATGGTGATTCCAGCTTTATCGTGTTTTTAGATACCATAGATCGCTTCAGCCATACTGTCTAGGAGCTATCTATGCTACCAAAACCAATTTGCAAATAAACACGCAAAATTAACATTAATACATGCCTAATTACGACTAAGAAACAACTAATGCTATTAACAGAAACTTCATTATGTGCTGCTCATTAACTGTCACCATGGCATTGGTACTTTAAAACGAAACGAAAACTTGTCTTTAAAGTTAAATAATGCTGGAGAGATTAGGGAAAAAATAACGGGTGGAATAATTATATATAATGTTACCACTCAACCCATTTGAACCATTCAAATGTGTATGATATCTTACCTATGGGTCGATCGGGATCCGCGTGTCGAATCATTACCCACTCTCGCTCCGGTGGTGGTGCTGTGTTAACTAAAAAGTAATGATGACGATAATGACGAAAACGACGAAAACAATACACAGCGAACATGTTGGATACAACAACATCTAACAAACGGCTCCTTTAACCTGCAACCATATCTAGGAGCTACACTTTTATTGTAGCATTAAGCACGTTCACGGTCCGACAGTAGACACTCCATCAAGCGAGAAATCTCATTTACTCAATCATAGATTATTAACTTGTTAACTGAACGGTTAGAAAAACATGCTCGAGGATGCATTGGGTAGGGTAGGCCACGTAATCATTCGTTTGTAGACCTCTCCCTTTTACCCACAATTTATGCTCATTAATATTCTTTAAAGTACATAACTGATTTTGTTTTCAAATACCTTTAAAGCACATAATTAATCTGTTAAGCGTGCTAATGAAAACCAAGTGTGCTGAACTAATTGGGATGGTGCTTAGATTTAAACTCCACTTAAAAGGGTAAAAAAGGTTAGGGAGATACGGATAGTATCAGGGGACTTGTGAAGAAGAGAATTATCCGAAAACTTTACGTTAGCGCAAAGGAATTGCCCATTGATGGATTATCTCGCTTATCTACCTAATCTTCGTCAAAGATGAACATGTACTTCTGAACAATCGTCTGTGCAATTGCGAATGAGGAACAAAGGTGCTTAGGTCGAACCGACTGAAGAAAAGCAAGGATAGCCGAAATCTTCAAAGAATGCCACGTGGAAAACGTCCTAAAGTCAGGTCAAGAAATTCCTGTAGTTGAAATCATACAAAATTCGCAAAAGGACCACCATTGAGCCATTCGATACTGAAAAATTTAGAACTTTACCAGAAAACCAATAAAGACAAAGACATCAACAGCGACTTTTATCAATACGGAACTTAAATATCCCTTCTATTAAAAGAAGACTTCAACATGGTCTTTCAACAATATAATATCAAGGGCCTGTCCATGGAACTAAGACGAGAATCGGGTATCTTGAGTGGATTTTTTTTTCGAAAAACCTCCCAAGAGCCGTCCTATAGAAGCGCGAAACTAAATCCGTCGGATTTTTTTCACTTGGCCATTCCTATAGCTCAAGCTAAACAATGAAAAAATCGCTGGGGTCAAGCACCTGTCCCGCGAACGCAGAAACGATTGCAAAACATGTAGCCGGACAAATCTATGTAGAAGACAAGGGAGACTATTTCATAAGTGTGTGATTTGATGACTTAGAACGGAATTCCTCAAAGTGGATTCTGCTGGAAAAAAATGGGAACGAGAAGAAAAGAAATTGGAGGTAATTCAGAGGTTGTGAAAACTTTTGAAACAAGCTATGGACATCTTTGTGGAATTTCGAAAACTAAACACAACCATAAATAGAACACAGAAAAGGAGTAAAGAAAGAATTTGGTCACAAAACGTTCTTCATACTGTGGAATCAGCGCTCCACAAGTCCAGACAGGGTAACAAGAGAGTCAACGCCCTATTATATTTGACTCTTGGAACTCGTCTATTCATAAATTAGAATATGAGGTAATCGAGTCGAATAAACATTCCCATAGGAAAACACTTAGAAACAGTAGAAGTACTTAAAAAATATATTTCCAAAAATACAACGGGAACTTTGTGGTTAAGTAGTACGAAGCACTTCACTGGAAGAGGGATAAAATGAGCACGAACCGGAAACGATAAGCAATCACAACAGCCTTGTCAAAATAGTATTAAAAATAAAATAACGGATAAGGACACAAAAATGAAAACAAAAGAAGGCAATTTGCACTCACTTGCCAAATGGTCGTGAAGGAAATGCAACAATTTGTGAGAGCCATTACTTTCGTGGTAGATTTTATTGATTTCAGGAGATAAAGGGTTTCCTTGGAGACCTGAAAATAAAATAGATGAATTGAAATATAGACTCAGTCAGTTGCGGAGTGACTTAAGGTAATGGACATTACGTCAGCGGCAACAATAGGCGGGAAGTGGGAACAGCCTGTCTTGAAAAGAAATGTGAAAAGGGTCCAGCCGAAGTTAGTCAAAAGTCGGTCTTTCGAACCATGGACTTTTCTCAACGAATCAAGAATGAAAGACAACAGCAACCTCAGCTTCCTCGTGATTAAGGAATAAATAACACATCGCGTTTGGTCAACAAGAACACAAAGAATTATTTGATCAGTTTTGAGATTAATAGAAAATCGGCCGTGGGAATTACTAAAAGATAAATAAAATGATGTCGTCAATTTTTATTTACTGCCTACTAATTTTTAACGGTAGGATATTATGTGGAATATAACCATAACGAGACAGGCGAAACGAAGGACTCGCATGGTGTGGTGGTGAATGCGTTACTCCCTGGAAAGAGTAATAGCGTGTTCTGTCCCCACCGCAGACACCAGCGGTCCGAAGTTTTGCGAATATCTTAACAACATTATGCTTAGAAGATAACAGTTTAACACACACCTAATGTTTGTATCCTGAAAAGCTTTCCCAATTCGTATGGTAAGACTCGAAGCTGGTTGTGGTTAAGATAAAGGTGGCAGAGTGAAATCATATCACCGAGCTCAGCCGGCAAACTCCTCAGCTTGTTATGCGACAAGTCCAACATCGTCAGATTCGTCAACTAAACGACAATGAAAGCACTAAATAATCCTCAAGAAAAGGACCAAACAGGACCACAAAGTGGAGGGCCAAAAGTGTTACCTGAGATATCTCCGGTGGGACACGAGTCAACTGATTGCCATTTAGAAATAAAGCTGATAGATGGCTCACTTGCCATAATGCATTTGAAAGATTACGGACTCGTCCTGAACCGGGCTACTTAGTCATGAGAGACTCTCCACGTAGTATTTAAGAAGTGGAAAAAGCAGAAATCGTAATTTCCAGGAAACAACAACTCAAGAAATAAACGTACCATGAATTTCGAGTTCAGTCCAACGGGTCGTTTTGCCTTGGTTTATCTCGTCTTCGGAGAGAATTCGATGCACTCTACTCATGCCATTCGTTAAAACTTTCTTTCCATCGTTGTTTTCGACTTTCGTCAGGGGAAGACCTGCACCACCTCCTTGTTTATCTTTGTACTCTTCACTTCCGTTTAATTCCCCGTTCTGCATGGCACCTGAAAGCGAACCTCCAACTATAATAATGCAGTAAACACCTACAAATGAATCATTGAGAAGATAGACAAAGAAAATCGAAACTACCTTCAACATTGTAGTTTGAGAAACAAAGACAATGGAATGACAGTCCAAGGGTTAAGAGCTTATGTTCTATGGCTTCCTCAACTACAGTTACATGGATTCGAATAACCACCTACTCATTCTACAGCATTCAACGAGAAAAACGAAGATGAACACACCGACAAACGGGGACCAGACTCTCTCCTAAGTGTCTCGACTGACAACACAATCAACCATTCAAGCTAATATGACCTCAGCAACAAACAAAACAAGCATGCTTGAACTCCAAAAAGATGACCGATGGCAGCGGCAGCGAGCGGTCGTGTCGCGGTCTTCCGGGGATCTGCACGTACAGTAACGTGTGCTAGTGGTGGATTCTACCTCTTCAGGTCGTGATTTCTGACGGCTCGACTGGAACTGTCGTCGGATTAGCGGCATCCGTGCTCGGTCTTCGCTTGGTGGATATGTTTCTGGTATTCCTCTCTGTTTGTTCATTCTATTCAATGCGTGTCGTTCCTCGAATGGCAGAGTACTGGGAGTGTATTTCAAATTTTCGTATTTCTCCAGATGCTGAGGATGTCGGGGATCATTGGCAGTTGTGTTTTGCATTTCGATTGCTACAATTTTCGTTCAGCGTCCTAGCTGTGACTATTATTTCTTCATCATTCTTCCTTTTCTGTGCTCTTCTCATGCATGTGTGACAGCGGTTGCGGTTCCAGAAAGTCGGCAGAGAATTGGGAGCAGGCTTAAGGAGGCTCGCTGGCTTGAGCCACATGGAGCGGAAAGCGCTCAGCAGTCGAGTTATTTCTTCTTTTCCTTCTTTCTGTAAATAACTCACTATTTTCTGCATGTTTCAGTCGTTTTTTCTGATTTGAAATCGCTTGTAAACTGTGTGGTTGGACTGGAATTAAACCTCTCCAGCTCTCTGGTCAGACTAATCGCGGTCCTCATCCTATTTCCACTTCGTTTTTTTAGCTCCTGGTAGAAAGCTTTACATCTTCAGTGAATACAGATATGGTCGTTGCTAAAGTCTTGGTGGCACGAGCGATATAAAGAACAAAAATATGTAGCTCATTGCCTGGTTGACAGAAAGTCCGCCATATGCGCTGTCCTTTTACGAGCAGTTGCAGGTCGCGTCGACATTGTTGGATGGCGAATCCGTCCAATGTACCACAAAAGGTGGGTTTTCCACAGGCATTCGGAAGCAGTCCATACCAACATGTGGTGCAATTTCAACAGTACGGCAAGGACGTCTCAGCTGCCGAACCTCGTGTGTGAGTCCGAAAATCTCTTACGAAGGCACTTATTGTTTCCTAGTTATTCCAGATTGAGCGGTCTACTCGTTCATTGTCGTCTTAATTAGAGTAGAAGTCATTCCAGAAACACTGCAACGAAAAGCACTTTTTTTCAAGCTCCCGTGGGAGTCCCGCAGTTTCCTGCTAAACCAAACTCAACAGTCTCTTCGCCGATAGTAAATGGCTTTTCGCAATCCAAGAATGTAGGTGAATGTTTTATCTGAATTCATCCAAAGAGTCAACGGATTAATAAAGCAAAGGGTCCACTAATCATATCCCTGTAATTATAGGTGCAGGGTGTTACCCAACAACGAAGTGATGCGAATGGTCCTTACTCCGCTTTTAAACCTTACGATTGCACAACTATCCCTCCGCCATTTCCCGGACAATCCGTAGTTTCAACGGCCCCCTCAGTACGACCAGTTCAAACTGCCTTCCAGGTCTGCAACGTGATTCACTACTTAACGTTTTGTTTCCTGTCACTATTCTTTTTACATATTTGATAAAGTTAAGCTCTTGTAGACACCAACTGGGACGATCTACCAGCAGCCTACTGGAGGTTCTGTTCCAGTAACGTGCCAAAGTAACTCTCTGAATTCTACAGCATTACCTGCAAAGACTGTTGGCACTCCGTGTACGTTACTAGGAGTTCGATCGCAATTGCTAATTAATATCTTCATACAAAATTGCGGTTTTGAACCGTTAATTTTTTACGGTTATAACTGAGCTCAAACACTACCTTATTACTCTGTGTTTTTGTTGAGCAAACACGAGGTGTTACTTTATTTCTTTATTTACGTACAAGCTGACGTTTCGGCGGATTTCGCCTTCCTCAGAGCCTAGAAAGGTCAGCTTGACTGCAACCTACCCAGCCAAGCTCCTCCATAACCAAACAGAGGAAATGCTAAACCAAGATTTCAATCACATTGGACCGCCTTCTATTTCCGGCATTATAAAGAATTATTTGAACAATCCCGAGGTTAATAGAAAACCACTGGAAATTGCTACTATATTAGTCAGAATGAAAACGATTGGAATCTATAAGTATTTACCAACAACAGTGTGGTGTTTATTTATCCCAGTGACATAGAATTCTGAAGTTCTTTGAGCAACAGTTTGTTGAAGACAGTTGGTTAGCGGTGCAACTAGTGTGTTCGGTGGGAACCGTCTTTTTATACAAATTCGATCTTGGGAAATGTTTTGGGTCTTCACCCTCGGTCAAATCCTTGCACTGGAAATGCCATTCAACTTTTTACTGCCTACTACAATTTTTCATGGCAGGGTATTATGTGAATACAATCCCAATGGTGCTGAGATATTTGCAAAACTTCGGACCGCTGGTGTCTGCGGTGGGGATCGAACACGTTGTTACTCTTTCCGAGGGCAAACGCGTTCAATGCCATACCATGTGGTTCCTTCGTTTCGCTTGTCTCTTATCTAGTTTTCTATCTACTATTGCCATCAGCAATCACCCGTCGGCGGGGTTGATCTGGGGCGCACAAGTCGACATCGAACCCAGTTGAGGCTGAAGTTGGACTTGAAGTTTCGGTCTAGAGTTTTGCAAATATCTCGGCACCATCATGTTATATTATTTTTGTTGTGCGGAGAAACCCGACTTCATAACGGCAATGTATTGATGTCTTTTGGGAACTCGTCACTTGGGGACCTTTAGAACTGTGTTCTATTGGAGTGGATAAACTCACAACTACTAGGCAAGAGGATACGGATTTATATGTGCTCTATTTTAATTAGTAAAGCTGATGTTCGAGCCTAGTTATAACGATTTGAAGTTTTTCACTGACCTAGTGTATTGAAGCTTTTTGTTCAGTTTCACTCGGTGGTCATTCTATATCAAATGCTACAACGCCGTTGCAACCAAGTACTCCTACTATGCAAAGTTTTCCGCCTCCCAGCATTCATCAGTTGCGACAGGGTTTTACTAATATGGTGATTCTAACATGCATTTACAAGAACATGTCCTCAGTTCTTTTTACACTTTGCACTTTCAGAATCTAAAACATACCCAATCTGTGGCTCAGCCCTCTCAGTCTCGATGGGGTAACTCATATCCTCAGGATTCTCGGTTAACCGCGCCGTGTTCTTTGTCAGATTCGGTGGATTTGATGTCTGAGAGAAATATTCTTCAGTCAGGATTTGACGATATCGTATACGACCTCCCTCATAACATGGCGAACAATACTGCCAGGGTGGATCCTAGGTATGAACTAATTGCGAAATTATTCGTCTTTATCCGTGTAGTGAAGTCACAATCTTTCAATTTCTTATCAAATAACATTCGTTGGGAAGAGTTTGTTTAAGTAAGAGTCTAGCTCCATTAACTCTCATAATGTTTATAAAATTCCGTCTTTGAATGAAAAAGTTCTTATTTTAGTGTGTTTCGCTGCACTTTGAACATGGTTCCACAAACCGAAGAATTATTGAGGAACAGTAGGCTTCCACTCGGCCTTACTCTGCATCCTTTCCGGGATATGAAGGTAAAGACCTTTCTGTTGCGGATACATTCGTGGTTTTCATATATCCTATGATGTTTTCTAGAACCTGAATATCATCCAAACTTCTACAATTGTGCGATGTCGGTACTGTCGAACGTACATAAATCCTTACGTATTCTTACCTAATTCGCGACATTGGAGATGTAACTTATGTAATCGCAACAATGACCGTAAGATTGTGGTATTCGTTTTTAGTTTTCAACTTTTTAACGAAGAATGTTGAATATTTCCAAATTCCATGTTCCTTACAATGTTTCTTACAGCAGTTTTCTTTTTAAGAGCGGTGGCGTGAAAACTATGGTTGACGACGCCTCAATTACTGTTGTTAGCTTAAACCGCTAAATCCTGCTCTTTGTATACAGTACGTCTGAGTATCTAATTTTCAGTCCCTGACGACTTTTGTTGGGATCCAAACACGAAATCGTTTGGTGATCCTGTAAATCGACCTGAAATCAAACATCCAACTGTCGAATTCATTGCACCCAGCGAATACATGGTATGTGTTTGGTGCTGTTAAATAACTGTGGCAAAGTATATGCATTGATTCGATTCGTAATACTTTCGAAGTTTGTTAGCGCTCTAGCATTTGGGATTATTTCTCGAAACCTTATTCCATCGAATGCGCATGTATTTCTTCACTCGACGTATATTTCGACAAACAGTTTATTTTATGTGGCTAGAAGAAACCAAAGCACCGATCTTTTGACATGAACCAATCAGAATTCTTCAGCTACGTCCACCACAGCCTGCCGTTTACGTCTTCGTACTGGATGTAAGCGCTGTAGCTGTTGAGTCAGGTAATCGATTTTGTTGAGATTCAACCCTTTTAACCGGCTTTTTTATCCGAACTCAATGCTTTGTAAGGACTTGTTCATGGATTATTAAACGTCATTGCTGAGTACTTTCAATCGTTAGATTTAATCCGTTTATGTGTGGAGCTGAAGGCTCCTTTATGAAATATTATCCATTTAGGGTATTTGTTTGCATTCTCTGAGCAGCTTCTTATCAATCTCGATCAGTTGCCAGGAGATGATAGAACACAGGTTAAAATTTTTAGTTTTCTTTGTTTTACTGGGATTTACTGTTGTACGTCAGTAACTGTGCCTTTGCTCCCCAATCTTGGCTTTGTTGGTGTATGAATTTTCGAGCGATTTCTAGGTGGCTTTCGTCTGCGTAGATTCTATGGTACATTTTTACCAATTTGGACCAGGACAGCGACATTCTCCTAAAGAATTGATCATCGATGAAATAGATGGTAGTTATAGAAAGGGAAATTATCCGTACTTTTTTTACTAGCCAATTGGCCCTATTATTTCAGAAACGTTCTTGCCTTCATATGATGGTATTTTGGTGCCTTTGAAAAAGAACATTGATGTGAGTTTCTGCTTTTCCTGGAAGCTAGTATATTTCGTTCGATATTTTGCTTATGTTTTAACACTATATCGAAGTTACTCTCTTAGCGCTGTATGCGACATCTTCACCTCTTTGTTTATGCTTTAGGAAATATAATGTAGTATGAAATAAATGGTTTAGGCTGTGCGGTCATTCGTAGAGAAGATTCCTGTTTTCTTCGAGAATGCCAACAGTACCTCAAATTGTCTTGGGTCAGCACTGAAAGTTGTCCATGATTTGATAGTGGGTGGTCTTTATTTTTATAACCGTGATCGACTTCTCTTTGCAATCTCTGGGCATAATGGTTCCCTACCTATAGTTATCTTACCGTTTTTTAAGTTATGTGTGTGAATTTTCGGTGGTTGGAGGCGCCATGCAATACTCATGCGGTCGATCCCTGCGCTCAAGACCCACCAAGCTCTCCATCCCTCTGGGTTCGGCAAATTTGTGCCAGACTTGTCTGCGTGGATAGCAACACTGGCTCGACACATCGGCAGGTCACCGCGAGTCATTTTTGAAGGCCAGATATGCATTCTATCACCTTCAGCGATGATTTATGAAGTCGGATGCATGGCACATCCTTCAGGGATTGATCAGCTCCGAGACTTTTATCCATTTTCTCTTCTCTTTATATGTGAATCTGTGCTGCTGTTCGCGTTGGGTTGCGTGCGCAAATGCAGATGCGTAGACGTCCTACTGTATATTCACGTGTTTTCAAGTCATCTGTTAATGATTGTTCTTTTTTAACCCAGTAAATTGGCAGTGTGTAGTCAAATGGTCATTCGAGTTACTGAGCCAATTATAATGGTGCTTCTCGATTTCTTCGGAAATGTTTGGTGATTACTTTGTCTTAAAAGCTATAATTAGCTGTGAATAGTTAGAAAACAGTAGGCAAAAGAGCGAACATGTGTAAACAGTTTGTGATTTTCTCCGATGTTTCACAAGAGAGTTCTTTTCTTATTCTCCATTTCGATTTTAATCATTATCTTGTGCAGTATGCATTCCTTTACTTTTTATTCTTAGAAGTAGATTTTATTTTAAATTTTAACCGGCAACGTCAGTAAAGCACATTTGGTTCACAACTGGCCAAAAATATCTAGGTATATTAACCATAAATGTAATCATTCGTGGGTGTCACTTTGGTCTAGTTTTTTGGCTCATCACGATGAAATATTTGGCTTCAGATAAATATACTAACACTATAATATCTTCTTCTTTTCTTGTTTTTGGTGCTTTCCTTTGTTTCTTGCTGCTCAGGCCGTTCTCTCGGTTGAACGTGTGAGACCGTCCAAAAAGATGCGATAGTATCCCTGAAATTGTTGGTGTATATTTGGGGGTAGTGCACTACTCTCACTTTTTTTGCTTTTTATTTCTTATTGATTCACCACATTTTAAGTAAGTTTCTATAACAATTGGTTGATATTTACGAAGACTATGTATTCATATGAGGCTCGTGTGGCGCATTGGTTGGAGGCGCGCCACAATAAACACGGGATCGGTCCACTCCGCCAAGCTCACCAAGCTTTTCATCACTCTGGGGTTGCTAAATTAGTACCACGCTTGTCTGCAAGGAGAGCAGCACTGGCTCGTTACAACGGTAGACCACCGCGAGTTATTGTAAAGGCCAGATCTGCATTCAATCACCTCCAACGATACTTAGTGAAGTCGAATGCATGGTATCCATCAGGGATTGGTCATCACCGAGAGCTTTAGAGCTTTATGTATTCCTTGGAGTATTAGGTCAAAACGTGTTTTAATCATTACAAAAATCATCGTCTTTAGCTCATCTTTGGCTGTCCAAAGATCAATTAGTAATCTCGATAATGTATTTCTTGACTAAAGCGATGTTAGAACAAGTAGTCCAGTGGTTAGTGGTGCCATGCAATACATACTGAATCAATTGCTAGTTCGATCACGAACTCCAGGATTACCAAGTCAAGGATTGTTCGCAGATTGGTACCAGACTGGTCTGGGTGTCATTGCAAATCATCGTATCGGCCAACTATGCGTTCAGTCACCTCTGTGATACTCGATGAAGTTAAATGCTTGACGCATCTTTAAGGAGTTGATCATCATCGAAGATTTTATCCTTTCTATCTTCCACCATAAATGTTTCAGGCAGAAATTGGTGGAAGAATAACGGTATTTCAAGCATCGATTCCCAATGTTGGACTTGGTAATTTGAAACCGCGTGAAGATCCTAATCAAAGAGCAGCGCAGGTTGATTTTTTCAAGAGACTTTAATTTGTTGTTCGAAGAATTTCGATAATCCTTTGTTTAAAAGGTCTTTTTGAACTTCAAACGTGCCGTTTAAATATATTCCCTTTAGGAAGTACAAAATCTTGGGCCAGCTACCGATTTTTATAAGTGCCTTGCTCTTGAATGTACTGGTCATCAAATAGCCGTGGACCTTTTCATGTTAAATACTCAATATGCTGATATTGCTACTCTGTGTGAGTATCGTTGTCGTACATACATATGTGCATAATGTTTATGTATATTATATGTATATATATATATGTATATATATATGTATATATATACGCATTTTCATATATGTCTATATACATGCGTGAGCATATGCGTATATATATATATATATATATATATATATAAGTTTGTGTATGCACATGTGCAATACTTTTTTAAGCAGAAGCTGCCAAATTTTCTTCCGGTTGTGTCTACTATTTCCCGAAATACCACTATCTCAACGATACTACGCAGGTATGTAGTAGTTATTTACGCTATACCTATAAGCTGTCTGAAGGAAGTGTTTTATTTACACTATGAGAAGTTTTACGTTTTGATTTACCTTAATGTCTAGTTCCCCTGATGTTTGTTGAACTAGGTAGGACGAAAGTATGAAGTTCACGTCTGTTAAAAGATTTCATCACAATGTGAACCATCTCGAGATTTTAATCTAGACTGCTTTGTATAGGAAATCTACATCGCTTTTCACAAGTTATTTTGTGTCTTATCTATTAGGCTTCTTAGCACTTGTCTTAGTTTCAAAATTTTGGTGTAAATAATGTTTAGTTTTGGTTTCGTGAATTATACTATCTGTTAGAAATAGATCATTATATACTTCCTCAAGGATAAAGATTCCATGTTAGGAAATAGCGCAGCGCTGTCAAATATGGCAATATCTCAGTAAGTAGGTGGTTTCATCAACTTCGTTCCATTAACCATTTAACTTTAAAACAGTAGCAAGTAAAACTAAAATATATTTTTCTCACTGGCAAGCAAACACGAGACTGATTAAAAAAAACACTTTATTCGGCTGTTTCAGGTCCTTCTTTTCTTATCCTTTTCTTCGTCAACCTCGTGTTAGCGTATCACTAGGAAAATACATATTCATTATTCATACCAAGGTTAAAAGGAAGAGTCGATTTTTGAATTTTTCTCAGACTAGAAATTCTTAAAAAGTACGCGAAAAGATGGAATATTAACTGTGCGAACACATGAGTATGTAAGGTCATCTTATAAACTGATCTTTAGCTGATGCGATGTTGGTATAGGTCTTCGTTGTTGTTGTCGTTGTTCTCTTGAAGTTGTTGGTTTACCTTGTTCTCGTTGTCAGATTTGAAAAGCTATCTGCTTTGGTGTAGAAATGGTTCTGAAAGAAAACGATAGGCCCGCATGGTGTGGTGGTGAATGTGCAGTTTCGACTATTCTTGTTATTAATCAGTTTTGTTAATCTCGTTATTTGTTAATATTCCAAAAGTTTAGGTTACTGAGTATGAGTGTAAAAGCAGGGTTGTGAATAAGTAATTGTCTTTATTTTCCAAGCAAGTCCAGTTTCTTGAAATCTTTTAAAGGTGGTTAGTGAATCACAACATTGAATTCTTTTTTTAGGTGAAAAGATTCGAGAGAATTTTCACGAGGTATCTCACTAGAAAGATAGGATTTGAAGCAGTACTGCGCATTCGTTGCTCGAGGGGTTAGTTGCAACGTTTTCTTGCATTGATGCTGTTTTCGGTAAAATGTTAACATAGCCTAAAGAGTTTTTTTAGGACTTAGTTTATCTACATTCTTTGGAAACTTCTTTGTTCGGTCTACGGATCTTCTAGCACTTGCTAATGTGAATCCGGACTCAGCGATCGCAGTTCAGGTAACAGTTTAAAGACGAATTATATACACTGCATATCCCGTTACTAACCCTTTACAAGTCTCAAAATTTTTGTCTTATTTACAGGTGAGCATGGAAGAGAAACTCTCTGCCACGGTCTGTTTTCAAGCTGCTCTTTTGTACACGTCGAGCAAAGGTACATCACCTTTTCTTATTTTAGTTTGTCTAACTGGTAAGTTTGTTAAATACAGGAGATCGTCGTATACGAGTTCACACAATGTGTCTACCCACAACAACGGACTTGGCCCAGGTCTACAACAATTTTGATTTGAAGGCCACTATTTCTCTCATCGCGAAAATCGGTACTGCTTCCTCAGTTCTCTTCATATTTCATTTATTCGCAGTTTCATTTTTTTAAGGAGTTGATCGGTCCATGTCCGGTTTTCCGTTGTCGGATAGCAGAGAAGCGATTGTGAATGCTGTGGTGGACTCATTTGCCGCTTATCAAAAGACAATTCGACAAGGTCGCCCAGGTGGATTGTTAGCTCCTCGTCGAGGCCATCTACGATTGTTTCCTCTGTATGCGCTTGCCATGCTTAAACATGTATGTGGTCCGATTGATGTTTCGTTTTTTCGATCCTCAGCATCGTCATTACAGACATCATTTTGCACTGGTCGCAGCGTTAAGTTGGACGACAGGATTGCCGCTATGTTAGTTCTACGATTTTGCCCGTTAGAACAGATTCTTTCCGAATTTTATCCTCAACTTTACAGACTGAATGAAATTTTACAGGTACAGTTACCCTAATGTCGACATTATTACTTTATTTGTATTTTTTAAACTGTAGTAGTTTTCTCTTCAGTACGACGAAGGGAAGTGGCCTTCATCTTTGCCACTTTCTTACGAGTATATAAACAGGGATGGCATCTATCTTATTGAAGCGGGTTCTGCTATCTATCTTTATGTGTCTTCAAATGCAAATTTTCAACTCTTACAAGATTTATTTGGGTGTTCATATACAAATATTGACGAGGTGGGTTTTTGAAGATTGACAGACGTAGAGCTCGCATAGAAGTTGTACGAAATCCCTTGTTTAAAGCATTCATTCCGATGTTACGAAAACGCTTTCTCTGAAAAGGTTCACAACTTCGTCCGTTATGTTACGTCTCTCAAGTTCTACCTTGGTCCTATTGTTATTGTGAAGTTAGTCTTCTTCTTTCCTTTTTTTTTTTGCAGTCCTATATATAGGTGCAAATTACAATTATAGAGAGGACTCACCTATACGAGATGCAGTTGTAACGAGGTTAGTCGATGATCGCACCGAATCCACACACTCATATGTCGAGTTCCTTCAGCACATTAAGCGCGAGATAAACAGTTGACCGCGATAATAACCCGTAATATCTCAAGTGGTGTATATGTTTTTCACTAGCTGCCTTTTATTCGATTTGTACTTCTATATAGAGTTCTTTTTAGCCATAGCACATTAAGATAGTTCTATTGTTTGACTGCATTGACATGCCAACTTTTCGTTGTCAAATTCCCATTTTATTAGTGGAATTGGTTGATTTCTTTTGTTCACTGGCTAACCCGGTTTTGTGGTGACTAGAACAGAACCTTTTGATTTTAATTTATATATTATTTGTTGTCTTATTACAGTCCTTTACTGGGTTACACATGGCTCAAGGAGGGTCTTGTTCCAAAGGGATTGTTGATTTCCTGCGCTTTCAATACCGAAGTCATTTTCCTAGCTCTATACGAACTGAATAAAATATCCTGTGTAAAGGGCAGCGTCCGTTCTACGATATCCTGCGAGAGTTATTTTTATTTACTTCTTGCGAATGATATTTGTTTTTGTGTTGTCAATTGGACTTATAAATGAAAGTAGGTGTATGATCTATGATCATTCATTTTCTTTTTTATTAATAGATAGTACTAAATCTGGTTCTTTCCATCACTCCAGGAACATTTTTAACTTATTATTTAATAAACTCAGTTCCACTACTTGACATCAGCTACAACTGGTATCTGAGTGTCGAACTCCAGAATTATTGCCACACTAGTTACGTGCACAACTTCGGCCTATCCATCCTTTCCGGTTCTAATTTCGTTACTGAGCAAATAGCGGGTTCTGCTATCTATCTTTATGTGTCTTCAAACGATTCACAACTGTTCAAGAGTTCATGGGTTTGGATCAACCTGTAGACATCAAAGCGGAACCGAAATATCTTTCCGATGAAGGGGAAAAGAAATACGGTCATGGTAGAACGTTTCCCTTAAAAAGAAGATGGAACAGTAAAGTTGCTTTGCCAAGGTAAGCATTTTTTTTTTTGCAAAAGTGCTCATATAGAGAATTATATCGAAAGATTAGGTTTTTGAGGTCAGGTGGTAATGACTGTGGTGATTCTACACCTATTGAAGCAAGCCGTCTCGCAAAACATGATACAGGTAGGTGTCGTTATAGCTAATATGTAAATACTAATGGACTATTTCATTGGGTATAATTGCGAACTTGTTAAGGTGCATCCGCCTTCAATCCACAAAACATGCGGAGCCAGTTTCACAGAGAGAAGTTTGCTTTGAAAAAGACGATACTCGTACAGCGATGTGTAAAGACGGCACGAGCAGAAATATTAAATAAAGAGGAAGTGAGCACTAACTGTTTTCCATTCTTTCTGTTAATTTCCAGATAGTTTCCACTTTGTGCTTTACTATACATTAGATTGTTCAAAAACTAATGCAAGATTTCAACGTAAATCTTTAACTTGTCATCTCTCGCCCCAGAATAAACTTCCGTAATCGAAAAAAATTAGTATCATAAGAATCTGTGCAGATCTGCACCACATAATGCTAACGAAAAACAAGTTTGTTCATTCTGGTTGGTTGGAACTTCGGAGTTCTGAAGGTGGTGAAATCCCTCAAGGTTGTTTCGGCCTTGGCTTGGTTTCTGAAGTATTTCTATTGCAGTGGTGGTCGAGATGTCTTGGAAAAGTAGTACTGGGTAGGTGAGAGCCGCCTAAGTATGGGATTTAAGGCAGGGTTTCCTCTTCTCATTCCGGCTTTTTCAACTTTAGCACTGTCGCTAGTGCGAGATATGGTTAGCGCCTTATCGTATAGCGGATTATAAAATTTGTGCGGTTTAAATTTGCTGAGCTTATTTATACTTTTCAATTCTCTTCAAGTGTTCGTACGAAAATAGTTGATATTGTGGGTGAGAGTAACGCAGTGGTTAGTGATACCGTCGACCAGGAAGCGAGGCGCTAGTTCGATCCTCCTCCAGTGCTCTACCGCAATGCATGTGGGAACGCCCTAGCCTGGCTATCTCAATTGTTACAACGAGAGTTGACTCGACGATCATTCTAAGACAGCCACAAAGAAGACGAAATTCTCAAGCAGAAGCCGAAACAATAGGCGAAATGTTCAAAGACCATTGTGGGTGTGGAATGCAACGAAACGAATCGAATTCAAGAAGTGTTAGGATCCGCACAATTGGTTGACTATGGGTCATGAAAAGAGAATGGGAATGTACAAAATTAGTAGAAATCATGCTTTAATTCCTGAACAATGTAATATTATAGAGATATGTTTCCAAGATAAAGTTTTGCACCTCTGTCTTGAAATCTAAACTTTCCGTGTTTTCAAGATTATCGTAGAAATCTCTTTTGGGTCAATTTATTGGTCTAAATTTTCATCTTTCAGCATATACTTTTGTAAGAAATTTAAAATATTCCTCTATTATACGAGGTCTTTTAGCACTGTGCATGTAAGAGTATTCTTTTAGGAAGGTTTTATAGAAGGAGAAGATGGAGAGCCAACATACGCTATAAAACAACGAGAAGTCGCTGATGCTGTTGATCTTGGAAACGCTAATAAGGTTATCTATTTCTTTGGTAAAGGCTTGTTATCATTGGAAGACTTGGTTATTTGCTAGTAGTGATTTTTGCAGTACTTCGAACTCCACCTGGAGAACTATGGACCGTATCGAGTTTCCTACACAGATAATGGTCGTCATCTTTTGTTAGGAGGGAAAAAAGGTCATATAGCAGCACTGGACTGGCAAACAAAAACTCTTCATTGCGAGATAAATGTGATGGAAATTGTCCGAGATGTTCAGTAGGCTTTACGATTTTAATCTGCGTGGACATTGTGTTCATATTTTAAAAGCTTAAATTACAGATGGATGCATTTGGAGAACATATTTGCTGTAGCACAACGACATTATACGTACATATATGATAATCAAGGAACGGAGATTCATTGTGTGAAGCAACTGCATAAGATTCGCAGGCTTCAATTTCTCCCACGACACTTTCTTTTGGTAGCATGTGTAAGTCGCTAACTTCACTTTCTTCTATTCCATTTTTATTTTTTCGAGATTCGTACTGATAAATGACATGAGAATCGTATGGTACAAACTTCATGTGTCGCCGTAGTTTTTCGGTGTTCTCATGGGTTCAGCATTGCACTGTAGACTTGCCATAGTATATTTCGTTGAAAATATTGCTTTTTAGTCTGACGCTGGATGGCTACATTGGCTCGATGTTTCAATAGGAAAACTGGTAGCATCTTTTCCGACACGAATGGGTTCGTTAGGTGTAATGTGCCAGAATCCAGCCAATGCTATAATTCACACGGGACATGACAATGGTAATTGCACTGCGTTATTTTCACTGTTCTTTCCTTGAAACCTGCTTTAAGGAAGATTTTTTGAAATTTCATAAGCACAACGATAGGAAGTTCTGAGTTTCACTGTAAGTAAAAAGGAAAGTGCCTACGTTTTGTTCTAGATTAAGGCAAACTGATTTTACTTTTGTCGAGACCTTTTTAAATGATGCGTACAGTTTAACTTTGTAGGTACTGTATGCCTGTGGTCACCGAATGTAAAGGAACCACTGGTAAAAATTTTGGCACATCAGGCATCCATCAGAGGAGTAGGCGTCGATCAGACAGGGAAGTACATGGTGACAACTGGGCTGGATAGGAAATGCAGGTGAAGTGATCAATATTTTCTGTAGTCGTTAACATATTTGTTGTTTAACTACTGATCTAAGGGTGTGGGATGTACGTATGTATAAACAACTCTATGGCTATTCACTTCCATTTGGTCTTTCTGATGTTGCTATCAGTCAGCGTCTATCTGTAGCATGTGCCATCGGAAACAATGTGCAGGTTAGTGCTGCAGAATAACCTACAGTATCGTCAGGGCAATTTAGGTATTGATTTTGTCAAGGAGAGATTTAGAAAGTGGTATGTTGTTTTCTGGGAAAATCCAACATGTTAGACATATGCGTTTGCTTTTTGAGACTAGACATGTTATTATTTTCATTATTCCGTTTCTAGATCTTCAAAGATATGCACCTTGGTGTGTGTCATGAACCATACCTTGCACATCGACTTGATGGTCCAGTTTCTGACCTCGCCTTTGTTCCCTACGAAGATGTCCTAGGTGTTGGCCACGCTGGTGGATTCACAAGCATGCTTGTGCCAGGTTAAATTTTTCGGCCTCCTTTCTGATATTCTTCGTTTAACTGTTTCCTTCTTAGCATTTTTAAGAGTGGAGCTGTATCTTGATTAAAACAAACTAAATCTTTGGTTGCAGGATGTGGCGAGCCCAATGTTGATGCGGTGCAAGCGAATCCATATGAGACTAAGAAACAGCGCAGAGAGCGTGAAGTGAAACAACTACTTGATAAAGTGAATTGAACATTCTCTTATTAAAATAACTTTGTCGACCGTTGTGATCCAAAATTTCAGCTCCAACCTGAGCTAATTTCGCTCGATCCGAGGGACATCACTCGTGTTAATGAAGACTTATTAGAGCGCCAAATGGAAGAAAGGAAAAAAATCTTATACGTAAGGCCAGTTCATATAGAGTACACTCTGAAGCACAAGATGCGTGGTCGTGGAACAGGTTCTCACAAGGTTTGTTCCCCTATTCTTTGAATCTACGGTTCTACCTCATTTTCTTGTTGAAGGACTCCTTTACTCCATTTTTTAATTTTGAAAGCTTACTTCACCATTTTTGTTCATCTCAATGTAAGTCATCACTCATATAGTTTCCGGTTTGTTTTGTTGCGTATGATAACTTGTGAAGATAGTCCTCCTACGAAAAACATCATTGAAGGCATTGTCCGAGAAAAGCTATTCCCACACCTCGTGTCTTGCAAAAACTTTTCTTTGCTCGGGTTTATTCATCTGGTGGCGTGATCTTTGTAGTGAGGACAGTACTAAAATGTCTCCTTTGAGGAGGATACCACAGCAAAGGTTGATGGTGAAGAAAGTACGAATAGGTCTCCGCTATATTTGTAGATTAAAATCTTGACATGGGCACACAAAATGTATTCATAGACATGCTTTCACCCAGTATATATGAAAATATGCCTACAATTTTCCGCTGGTGCTGTAAAAGATGTTGTTCTTAAAAATTTCTTCTACCATTTTCCTTGATGAGCAATGGCTGAGTAGATTGCTTGCCAGTTTTAATTTTGAAGGTGGAATTGCCGAAAATGAGCTACTCTATATTAATAAATGGTATAGTGTTAACCTCATCTTTGGTTATCAAGAGAAACAGCGAATTATTGATCAATTCGGGGTTAAAAGGAAGTTAGTCTTGGGATTTCTTCCACTACTTGCGTTTTTTCGTATTCTTAGTTAACACTTGCGCGGATATTTCATATTCTTTGCAATTAAGAAGCTTCAAAATTTATGTTTTGATGGCTATTATTGAAATAATCTAGGCAGAGCTGTTTCCTGCACTAACTCACTCTATTGTTTGCTATGTATTGCACTAAACCAACAATCGTGATTTTTTAATAATTTCGTATAGTAGTTGACGTCGCATCTCTGTTTCGTGCACATTCTAATCGTCTTCTTAAAGAAATGGACAATTGTAACGTTGGAACACAAATAATTTGAAAAAGACTCAAGTGTGCCTGAATGATAGTCTCATTCATCGCTACGTTCAGAATAGATCCTCCATGCGTTTAGCATACACCTCTGAATGACCAAGTGGAAGGAAAGCCGTGTACATCCAAACTATAGAGAAGAAGGAAACATATACACCTAAACTTTGGATGTAACTTCCTAGCTGTTTTGAAATACGCAGCTATTTGTTTGCTCGCTTCCATACACTGTGGACATACCTTTATGCTGAATAGATCCTAATGGGCCGTCAGCTGATCCTTATTCAGCCTCTGTTCTGTTGCAAGGTTAGGAAGTCTTATCTATTTTCCTGCAGGTGCACTTTCCGTGACCAAATGTGCCTTTCTGTGGACTAGGCTTTATCATTGCATCCATTTCTTTAAGGAAAATCGTAAGAAGGTGGTGGTCAATCAGAGACGAAACGAGTGGAACATGGAAAAGAAAGATGTTGAAGAGGAGGTGTTCGGCAAGAAAGTGCACAAAAGTTCTGGATCAGGAAGTGTACTGGACAGGTTTCGAAGATGATATCTGTAGTTTTATGATATATATACATCTTCACTGGAAATTTCTTGTTTACTCTGTTTGTTGTTTAGTAATTGTTTGCATCGATTTTGTTTATTGTTACCGAAAAGTGAAAAGCTGGAATTTTCTTTTCAGATACAAAAGAGGTATTTTATTTTTATGCATGCTCTCAGACAAATTCAGCGTATAATAGTAAAATAGTGATCTTTTGCATATATCTACTTTCACTGGAAATCCATACCACTATTCGAACAAGAATTCTGTGAACTTCACAAGCATTTTAGAGACACAACAGAACTAGTACGAATCAGTAGTTATATTTCGAATTATATACCCTGTCGTTAAAAACAGTAGACAGTAAATAATAAGCTAAAATTGTGATTATAACTGCAGCCTCAGCTTAACTGGGTTGTTGCCGATTTGGACTCCCCAGATCAATCCCGCTAACGGGTGCTTCCTGATGGCAAAGGATCGATAGAACTAGCTGAGAGACAGGCGAAACGAAGGACCTGCATGGTGTGGGGTTAACGCGTAACTCCCCGGAAACTAGAATAGCGCGTTCGTTCCCCCACCTGCGGTCCGGAGTTTTGCAAATATCTCAGCATCATTAAAAAACCTTTGTTTTTAGGATGTTGAGGTATTGCACGGAGTTATTTCAGAACGGTATTCATTTCTGGAGGCAGCCTAATTGTTCTAATTGTGAAGGACGTGAAAAGCTTCGGTTCGAACCGTCAAGACCAGGCGAGTCTCCCATCCTCCGGAGGCGAAAGTCGGGAGCCTGAATTGTGTCCGGGAAGCTCCTTCGATTCGCAAGAGCTGGTGGCTGCCTGCATTGGAAGTATGGGAACACTCTGGCACGGCTATTCCAGCATTCCACAAGGGATGAACACACCCAACATTCAATGACGTTCATGAGAAAGGTAAAGTCGTCAAGTGGCTGCCGAGACTACACGTAAATACTAAGAACTTCGTTTATGATGGGTGTGTGAAAACAAAGCAAGTGAAAGTCATGCTGGGCAAAAATACGATGGCGAGTCATGTAAAATGAAACGTTAAAAGAATAAACCTTTCGGCGTTGATCAATATCGGAGATGCGCCATGCATTCGAATTCACTAAACACCGTTAGAGGTGATTGCATATCTCGCTTATACAATTACTCGCGGTGGCCTACCAATGTATCGAGTCAATGCTACTATGGTCCCAGACAAGTCTGGTACCAATTTGCCAACTCCGAAGAAGGGAAGGCTTGGTGGGCTCAGACTAGGTTCTAGCTTTCCATGTGTATTTCTACTCAGAGCTAAAAGATGTGCTCGTATGAAAACTATGTTGGTTGGCTGCCAATCTGTTAGATTCTTTCGTGTAGTGCACTCACTTTGAACCCTTTTATGAAAAAAGATATAAACACGAATTGTAAACGTGTACACAGTGAACAACTGGATGCTAAAAATACAAATTATGCATACATACATATATACACGCATATTATATATATATATATATATGTATATATATATATATATATATATATATAGTAATATACAACGGATAAGGTTCTTGGCGTTGATCAATCCCTGTGGAATGCGACATGTATTAGGCTTCATTAAACATCGTTAGAGATGGTTGAATACATGAATGGCTTATACAGTGATTCGTGGTGGCCTAGCGATGTATCAAGTCAGTGTTCCCACTGTGCAAGTTTGGTATCAATCTGCTGACCACGAAAGGATGGAAGACCTGACGAGCTGGTGGCGCAGGTTGAACCAACGACGTTGTACCTATTGTAAGGCATCTTTAACCACTGCGCCATAAGCGGACAAATATAGATCTATATATATGCATATATAGTTACTGACTGGGTGAACTAAAAAGTGAGACAACACGTTAACAATATCTACAAAATCTTGAGTAAGCATTAAATGCATCGTTAAAGCATAATTATTATACCCATAAAAAAGGTAAGTACTCACAATTTCAGCATTGGAACTATGAACTCATAGAATAATTGTATAGATTGGGCGCTTAATATCGAATACCTATTATAAAAGCTATATTAGCTACACAAAAACAAGCTCGCTTTTGAAAGATTATTTATGCAGATGTGTTTTGAACTCATGATATAGCATACATATCACACTAAGGCTTATTTTCCACTAATCTTTCTTTTTATATTTCAACTAAGTTCACTGTTCTCCTTGGAATCCTCGTCGCTGCTGCTGTCACCGAACTGCTTGGATTTCTTTGACTCTAAGTCGTCTACACTGCCATGACGTTTGAGACTCGAATGACGTCTGTTTATCTGGAATATTCACAGCGATTTGTGATATTGACCAAATATTATTTATAAACAAATCAGTAATGACTTAGTGGTAATGATTTATTAATATTTTTTACTTTATATAATACTCATCACATATACTGCGCGGATTCCTGCATCTCCTGCATTCGAGTCGTTTTCCTGGTATTCGTCGTCCAGAATGGAATTCGAACAGTTCGCGAGTTGTTTCGTCTGCTACTTCAGGATTTCGTCCTTTTTATGGATGTCAGAGAATGTAACACAGTTGCATAGACCGTAAAGGCATGCAAGCAGTTTTACGACGCTCGATAAAATCGAATAAATGGAGCATCTCTCGGCGATCGACGAAAGCCGGTAGCGTTACTCTTTTAAACCACCGCATGTAAGCTTAAAAATGCAATAAGTTACTATCCATACCGTGATTTAATGAAAGTCGAATTTCAAAAAACAATGTAGTAAGTTGGTGATTCTTCGTATTCCATGCAATTCAATGAAGACGTTGAAGGAACTAACATTTTTCTTTCATGTTGCCGATAACAGCGTGCTAACAAAGATCAAAACCGTAAGATAATAGTATACAGTGGCGATTTGGTACTTCGTTTCAATTTTGAAGCTTTCCGTCTTTTTTCACTTATTGTTCACTGCCTACATTTTTTAACGGCAGGGTATATTGCGAAATATAACTTCATTGATGGTGAAGTATTTGCAGAACTCCGGGTCGCAGGTGTCTGCGGTGGGGAACGAACGCGCTATTTTCCTTTCCGTGGAGTAACGCGTTCACCACCATACCATGCGCGCCCTTCGCTTCGCTTGTCTCTGAGTTAGTTCTACCGATTTATCTGGTTGATTGGGTAATTTCTGATGGCAAAAGATCGATAGAACTAGCTGAGAAACAGGCGAAACGAAGGACCCGCATGGTGTGGTGGTGAACGCGTTACTCCCCGGAAAGGACAATAGCGCGTTCGTTCCTCACTGTAGACATCTGCGGTCCGGAGTTTTGCAAATATCTCAGCTCATTGAAGTTATATCTCGCTTTTCCATCTCTTGATAATCTCTGAACATCGTTAGCCCTAGACCGAAAATAACTCTACGGTACTCCATTGGTCCATTCCATTGCCTCTTGGTTTGCAGTTATAACCCTAGAACATTTACCTTCGACAACAATTTTTACGCTCTCCTTTAGGCCACGAGTACAAGTACGACGATAATCGAAAGATTAGAGACACACATAGCAAGGTGTCGACTGCAATAACCCGAGAGAACTAACGTTCGAGCCACTACTGCAGTAGACTGCTGATCAAATGTCGGATTTAATTGAGAATGACATCATAAAAAACAATTGCTTCCGATTATGACTTCAGCCATTGAAACAATGAACGAAAAATGGTCAAATTAGAGGGTTAAATCAATACTCGAACTAGTGGGAAATAAAACCGTGGAGTGCATAGAGTCTGATTCGTGCGCTACATCTTCACTACTAGAAGACTAGACATCGACCTATATACTTTCTTTCAGATAGCAGGCCAGATGAGATTATGAGTTACTCCCTTTAAGATGAAAAAAGCAATTGGATTTAAACATAAGAAAAAAAAAGTGACTGTGCAAATTAATAACTCTTGATGGACTCTTGGTAACTAATGCATTTGAGGAGCTGAAGAGTTAGTCTACATATATAGGAGACTCCGCATTATCACTACAAAAAGAAAACAATATGTAACAAAACTAAGAATTTTAATTTTCAGTCCAAAACAAACAAACTAGTTCGAAATCGACATGCTGGCGAGTAAGCCAGTTTTTAGACAACAGAAAATTTTTTCATCAAGAGAGTGGCGGAGGCGTTGAGAATTCTACAAACTCACAAAAGAGACTTTATACCTTTAAAGTATACACCATTTTTATAAAATAAAAGATTTCCAAAACAAGCGTTGTGGTTGCGAGACCATGCAATATAGGACACCAACCTTTGCATCCTACGGGAAAAAATTCCGCTAGTCTAGTCCAATTGCTTTCGTGTTCGAAACACAAGTCTTGACGTAAAAAAAAGTTAAATGGTGCACTCCGTGAGTTCTAGGAAATCAGGAATTAGTCGTGGTGGAATAATAACATTTATGTCTTATAAGCAAAAATCTATAGAGTTTAACGACTTTCATTTAAATAAATACGGTTCACTAAGAGCTAGGATGAATCGGTATAGACGCCGCTTCGTTAGTTTAATAGTGAGTTTTATCATGATCTTCCATCTGCTAATACTCTTATTAGTACAACCACAACGATGCTGAGATATTCGCAAAGCTTGGACCCCGGGCCACATAGAACCACGATTACCCTTTCTGGGGTCTCACGTATTACACACTGCACCACTGGGGCTCTTGCTTTGCGTTGCTCTCAGCTAATTTTCTGCCTAATGCTACCATCAGCAATCACCAGTTAGCGGCTGTATTTCACATCATACCCTGCCTTGAAAAATTATAGTAGGCAACAAATAAAAGGTTAACATACTCCTATCAGTGACTAGCTAGACAGCAATATGACACTGCACCGAATAAGCAATACTAAACACTGCTCATGAAGATAAAATGAATAAAAGGCACTTCAGTAGCGCAGTATAGAAAAGGTTAAATAGCCAAAAACAACAATAAAAAGCTTTAAAAAGTCCACAGAGCAGTGTACCTTTTGCTTCGCTACTCCGTAATGCTCCATGGTAGCTTGAGCTTCGACAACATCTGGTCGTACAAGGGGAAGAATACGATTCATTTGTTTAAGCGTCCTTAAAAAACATGCACATGTGATAAAGTAATATAGTCCACGATATCAGTTTTGAAAATTGTTCAGTGTTTAAACAAATTTTACATGACCAAACATCAAATGTTATCTGGATCTCAGCATTTCTTTCTCTCGTTTCGTTTCCTCGCATTCTACGAAAGATTTTGTCACTTTTTGTGGATTAAACATTTTTCCTTTTTTCAAATTTCTAACAGGCAGTTTCCCTAAGGAGAAATTTTCCCAAAACTCTGGCTGTTTCAACAATCTTTTAGGATTTCTAATATTTTCCCCATAGTGGTGTGATCTTACCTCCTCTGTTCCTCAATATCACAATGGCTCAACCACAACGCTCCAATTAATTCGGTGATGAACACTACGTCAGCGTGTTGAGCCATTAACCTTAGAAGGAACACACCATCAAGTCCTAGATATTTATCCATAAAGCAGTCAACCTGCTTCCGGTTACCTAAATAAAGTGCACAAAATATATGAAGTGGCTATATTATATGAAAGGTATTCATGAAAAACATATAAACCCAATCGAAATGAAAATATCCAACGTTAGTAAGGAAAACGAACCCCACTGTGATGAGCAATTAGCCTAAGGACTGCGCTTGGTATACTAATTAAAGATAAGTAATGAATATAACACGGGAGGGTGTAGCACAGTGGTCGGAGGCGCCTTGCAATACACATGGGATCGATTCCCTCGCCCACCAAACCTTCCATTCTCCCGGGGTCGGCAAATTGGTAGCAGAATCGTTTAGGAGCATAGAATCACTGGTTCGATACATCGGTAGGCCACCGCGAGTCACAGTAAAGGCCAGACATGCATCCAATCACCTCCAAACAATGCTTAATGAAGTCGAGTGCACGGTCCTTCAGGAATTGATCAACGCCGAGAGCTTTCTCCTTTATCCTTTTAATGAATATAGCGGAACATACTAGCGCTTTCTTTATCGAATGTTGTTTCGCACATTTCAAGATGATTGATAATAAAGTGTTCTTTGGACGTATCGCTGAACATTGCAAACATCCAGCTGAATAAATTGCAAGCCGTCAAGGTGCCCAGAAAAACGTACCTAGTAATGAATTCACATTATCTCGTTGTCTAAAAAGGAAAGAAAAATCACATTTATGAGTAAATTTATGCTATAAACAGACCATGCCCACAAAACTATGAAGATCTTTTCTGTAAACACATTGATTAAAAGCACGCATTGCACCGTATGCGTTTGGATGTTTCCCATTTCCCGTACCTAAATAGTTTACAATTAGCTTTCCATCTTGTCGAAGTCGCTTGGTAGATAAGTACCAACTTCTAATGGTTTTGTATGAGCTCCTAAACCAAGATGCATGTGTTGATCGTCGGCGAGAAAATGATTCGAACAACCTCTACCGATTCCCAGAGTTCTAGTAATCGGTCTCCCTATTTGTTCCATTCAGCAAAAAAATAGAAGAGGTCCACTGACAGTTTTTAAAATAGAGCAGGTCCACAGGACAGCGATCAGGAGTGCATTCGTTAGTATTACAAACTGGATGCGATGCAAAACTGTCAGTCGACCTGTTTTATTTTTTCGTTCAATGGAACAAATAGGGAGACTGGGATTACTAGAACTCTCGAATTGAAAGAGCTTATTCGAATCAGTTTACAATTACATTGTAGAATTCTTAAATTTTTAGAGACCCATGGCAGAATAGAAAATGGGTAACTAGTATTAGAGACAGCTAGGGAATGATGAAAATGAACCTCAAAATCGCATAAGGTGACCCTAGGAAACAACCCGTTGTCTTTCCACGTTTCATTCCCATTCCATAAGGATTGCCAGGCTTCGAAACCAAATTGATTTGAAAAATAACGAGGGAGTAGGTATCTATAACTTCAGGTCTTTCAATGATCAAACAGATTCGCAAACAACGATAAAACAAAATATCAAACAATTTGATAAGCTACAAGCATAATAAGCATAACATCCGATAAAACCGTCGTTTTTGACAAAACTCACCGATTTAACAATTTGGTTTGTAATCCAACATTCACAAGGAATGCAAGCTTTGCAATGCTGTAGATGAAGGTTACATAATATGTAGAATACTTTACGTTGAGACATCGGAGAACCTTGTGTGGCGACAAGTTCTTCTGAAGAAATGTTGTAAACCATTGAAAATCCCAAGGCGCATTAAGAACAGCCGGAGAAATTTTAAGACCTATAGAAATTTAAACACTCAAAGTCTAGTCTATGTGGGCTATGAACAACGCTAAGAAGACAGATAACTCATATATTTATCTTCACCAACAGCCATTGCATTTTAACAAATACCGGTTCAACTTTACTGAAGTTTTCCATGTTTCGGAAAATCCTCTCATCAGTCATCACCAGATAAATAGTCCATTACCATTTTAAATATATCACTTAGGGCCCTTGATCTTCTAAAATCAGAAAAAAAAGTGCAGGACGCACCATCTTGAGCCTTTTCTGGAAACGAAGGGCTCCTTGCAGGTGGATACATAAGGCTTTGATGTTTTCTTTCCTTATCTCCGGCACAGTATTATGCTCATCAGTTGCCAAGCGCAATATTTCCCCCACTCTCATACCTGACAGGTCAGAGGCAGTTCATAAATGAGAAATTAGGTAAATAAATAGATAAATGAATACTTATATCAGAACAACAGAAATTTCCAAACGGAATTTGAGATAAGTTTCGACTACTCACCACTTTGACTTGCAAAATACTTCCATATAAAACAGGGTAAACGGAAACAAGCTGCTTCGAAAAGCAAAAAGAATGGTATCCATTGATAATACGATATCTGAGACAACCCGTATTATATCATCTGCTCACGAGAACCCATGATCCTATTACATTTCTCGGTTCAGAATTCGAATAAATTGATCGCTTTACCTGGGCAGAGCTACGTTCAGTACCACCGGAAAATCTTGCCGCAGGGGTTGAGAAAGGCAGAAAATAGGTGTCATGAGACCAGCAATAATTCTCTGCGTACTGAAAATAAAATGAAAACAAAATTAAAGGAGAAATACCTCTTTTACTGTTTCTGAATGGAGTGAAATTTCAGTGCTCATACATTGTGTGCAGTCACTTTGATACGGAATTCTTTATTTAATCATTGGGCCAAGGAATATAGTGAGACCACAATCTCTTATCTGTGGCATTATATTCCACTATAATTGGCTAAATAACTGCAGTTAACAAAGGAAAGGCTCAAATACATTTAACACCACTTCTTAAACAAACCAAAGGTCTGAAACTGAAGCAATTTCTTCCTTCTACGATAATGAATGGCTTGGGTATTTTCTTTGTGCTACGCGATATATATTTATCTTGGTTTACCGCCCCATCGTGGGTGGAAGGTGTTTCCGAGTGTCCAGTTGCGATGCACAGCGGCAGGATTCGCCGCAGCAGGGCTATTAAACTGAGGAGTCCGGTGTTTCCATCAGGAAACACAGCTAGGGATAAACCAAAACCAGGGTCCACCACCGTCCTGGTAACAAAATAGTCGCATGGTGACAAATTTCCTTCAGATCTAAAAGGGCGGCGACTGCCTGTAGTGGTGATCTGGAGCAGAATTTGGCCTGGAGGGAACCACAATGGCTAAACCAGCAGAACCCCGAAACAATAGAAATTATGCCCAGGCCTGCATAAACAGTGAGCACGGGCGATCCAAGTAAGTATCCAAGTAATGTACATTTACCTAGCGTCTTTGCTCTTCTCATATTTGCCATGAGTCTGGATGTAATTGATCTCAATGCATAAAAAAAGTAGAAATGTTCCATGTGATATAATAAATTCCCAATCCCGATATCCGATCCCAGAAGATCAATAAAGGACAAAATTGCCATGAATTCAACGAAAAAAACCACCTTAATGCTCAATAACAGCGCTCAGGACATTAAAGATGTCACTTAACGCTAGAAACAAGTGGCTCATACGGATAGAAGTGGCTACAACCTATATTCAGCACATAACACGCGATGATGACTTTCTTTCCCGACATCTGAAGATAACTTCCCGATCAGACCATTTGGGGAGTCGAAAACTACACAGATTTATAGGAAGAACTTCCCTTTGCCGCCTCATTCGCACACTTGAGTTTTCATAATACAGCCTTGCTAGACGTGTTTGGAACTGAGAGTCCCAAAAAATTGGCAAACTAAGCCAGCATTTCTAATGTTGCACAGAAATTGCACCCTGTAGCTTACACCTGCATGTTGTAAACGTCTTTGATCCAAACAATAAGCTCGGTATGAGCTGAGAGATGTCGGTTTGGAGTTGAAAAGCGCATGCTTGGCACTATATCTTCAGATCAAAAACCACTCATCCACAATTGGTTATAACGAATACAATGGGACGAAGGGAACAACATGACTCGACTTAGAACAATATTCCTGGAAACATTTACTTATCCATGACAAATTTGTACAAGGATTTATTTGCAGTCAATTTGGGGTACTAATGAAAGCTCTTTTCAGAATAGTAACAACAGAGAAATCTCTCGGTGTTTTCCAGAGTACGACAGTATAGAAGTCTAATTCCTGTTGGCACCTTTACAATTTCGTCAACTTTAAATCACCGCCTACTAATTTTTTGCAAAAGTCGGGTCAGCTAGTGCCTGCCGTGGGGAACGAACGCGCTATTACCCTTTCCGAGGGTTAACCGGTTCACAACCACACCATTTGAGTCCTTCTTTTCGCCTTTCTGTCAGCTGTGCTAACACCTATAAGCCACTAACATGACTGAAAGGCAAAACGAAAGACTCGCGTGGTGTGGTGGTGAACGGGCTAGCCCCAAAAAGGATAATAGCATGGCCAGTCCCCACCTCAGACAACAGAGGCCGGAGTTTCCCAAATACCTCAGTGCCATGTGGTTATACTTCACATACGTTTCCAATAGTTTTAGTTAATGCCCTGGCGCAAACCAAATGAAAATGATCTGCTTAATCACATGGAAATCCATCTCCGCTTTGCCTTGAGCCATTATTTGGTAACGCAATGACAATTAATGGCGTAGCTCAACAGGATGCATATAAAGAGGATATGGAACATTTCCCACGACAATGAGAACCGATGTAGCTAAACCTTTCAGGAATAGATGGAATAACTCATACTACGCTTATATGCACACAGTTCTTGCACGTTCTTCTTATATGAAAAGGTTTTCGATGGGTCTGCCAATATACCGCCACATAAACTTGGCAGACCTCCTTTGGTAGTAAAAAGCTGAACCCTGTACATCATCAATTGATCGAATAACAGCATATTTGTCTTGAACAAAACTCCCTAGTCAGGTTGTTGGACCCTGTACTTCTTGACACTTACCCGAAGGAAATAACGCTATTTGGAGACAGCTGTGAACGCTCACTACTGAATTAGAGAACACATAAACGAAACGGAAACGCTAGAACTCTTCTAAAGAAAGGATCACACCTGCACCCAGGCATTTGTGAAGTCTGTCGGAACCATACATTCTATAGGCTTCCCGCCAAACTGCTTCCATGACACAAGCACGGCTAATCCAACTAGCAGATTACATGTCACAAAAGAATGTATACTTGCAATGAAATCCTTCGCGCCTTGTTCATTGCTGTACGGTACAGCAGTGAGTACGCGGAATACAAACATCTTAATAGAATTATTTCGAATGTTGAGAATCAGTGGATAGGAAATACTTAGATCAGGAGTGAACAAGATTTTAATACTTAACAAAACACAGGCAATTATATTCATATATACTGACCACGTAATAGGAACAATAGACCAACAACATTCACTCAACAATCACATCGGCCTCTTTGGTAGCCCGCGTGTACACAACTTGACCGCCGTGATGAACGATACACTTAATCAATCCTTTTGCTTGAAGTTCTCGAAGGCCAGCTTTCGCCAAGGATGCTCGAACCTTCAGCCGTTCAGATACCACTGACGGGGTGATGAGCTTGTAGGTGATTACCTAAATATAAGCAGGGCTTACATTTGAAGGTAAAAAGAAAAAAGGTGTTATTATAGGACCTCCAGGACCGTCGTTAACGCGGTAATACATCGTCTTTTTATTTCACATCATAAATGCCTGAACGATAATCCGATAAAAAAGTTATAGTTCTATAGGAGATACCATCGTCAGCCTTCAGTAATATAGCGCACTATACTGTAATACGGTCGCGATTCCACAAGGAAGAAAAAGTAATAGACTAAATGTTACTCATATTCGTAAATCAAGTTTCCAAAGGAGCTCTTGGCGTTGATCAACCCTGAGGGATGCGCCATGCATTCGACTTCGTTAAGTATCGTTTAGAGGTGATTGAATGCATATCTGGCCTTTACAATAACTCGCGGCGGCTTACCGAAGTATCCAGGCAGTTTTTCCTCCCAGACAAGTCTGGTACCAATTTGCCGACTCCGGATAGGCGGAGAGTTTGGTGAGCATTGGGTCCGGGATCGACTCCATGCGTGTTGTAGAGCGCCTCCGACCACACATACGAGGCGAAGGAATAGCCAGAGGAAATACCGAAGAAGCTGTGAATCTGTATGAGTATGTAATACACCTAGTAAAGATGTACTTAGGGGCATCTACTATATCTATACCATAATTCCAATTGAAAATGGCGTATCAATGGCTGGAATGAAGTTCCCCTAGAATCATTAGTGGATCTGATGAAAATGTATGCCTAACAACTTACTTTGATGTTACGCAAATCACTGATTAATTATCGTATTGGACTTTCATACGCACTAGTGAAGCTAAAAACTACCTTTTTTAAACGACTTATAAGAGTGACCTCACATTCCACACAAAAGTACGGATAGTGCTCTATCCTCTGATAAGTTGACTATTGTGTTTTCCAAGACTGAAGTCAATAGAACTCGGAAATAAAGGGCTATCGGCCAAACACAGTCTTAACACTATCCGAAACGAATTACCAATACCTCTTTATAGAGCTTGTCATACGTCGCCTGATCAAAAAGAACCATGTTGTTGAGTTTATCTCGAACTTTTCCCTTGGACCACTTCTTCTTCTTAGCCTTTCCTCCTAATCCTTCCTTTTTCTTAGCAGGTGGAGCCTTGCCTCCTTTGGGATCAGCCTTTTTCGTTGTCTTCGGAGGCATGTTACCTGAACTGCCGCAAATAGAACGAGAAAATTGCTATCTCAATTTCGAAACACTTGCTGTTTATGAATCAGCAAAAAAAACAGGCAAATCGATGGCATACGGCAGACATAAACAAGCCAAAATGTGTACGATGAAAGTGAAGTCGCCAACAATGAAATCAACAGTTTTTTACAGGAAGGAAGAGAGTCCATAGACGTTCACAAGTCTATTTTAACAACCTTAAGCAACGATGTTCTCTAACACATGCCAGGAACATAGAGTTTAGGTTGAACGTTGGCTATCGCCAACAAAGAAATCAACAGCTCCTTACGGAAAGGGAAAGGGACCACAGAATTACATAAGTTTGTTTTAACAACTTTAAGCCAAATTGTTCTCTAAAACCTGCGAGGAACAAAGATACTTTAGGTGGTATCCTAGCTAATCGTCGACACTCTCACCGTATACTGTAGATCATCGCGTTGGGACCAAGTAAAGGAAACGCTACAGATACCCTTTAATAAACTGAGTTCTGATGGTCTAAGTGACGCTGTTGCTGCCGCAGTCATTAATCTCCTTCCATGCATAGGTCTGCGACTCCTCAGTTGGGATCCCGTTTTTGATCTAGCAAAGAGTAGGAAAGGGCGCGTTTGGCCCAGTGATTGGAGGAGCCCTGCAGTGCGCACTTGGGATCAATCCGCGCGCCCAGGCTAACCAAGTCCTCCCTTCGAGGTCGGCAGTTTGGTACCAGACTTGTCTGGGAGGATAGCAGCACTGACTCGATCCATTGGTGGGCCATGGCGAGTCATTGCATGGTGCTTAATGAAGTCGAATGGACGGCGCGTCCCTCAGGGATTGATCGACACCGAGAAATTTATCCTTTTTCATCCTTTAAGGAGTAGAAATGCGAAGAGAATTGGAAACGGTGATCGTGGAAAGTCCAATGAACTTCGTTGTGAGGTTATGCTGAGCACTGGGACCTTGTCTGGTAAGATAAAACGCTAGAAACTTCGTCTTCCGAGGGTGGTATTCTTGAATTTGCTGTGCGGGAAGCTTCACATTACCAGTAGGAAATGTGGTGAGGATCAGCAGCGTTGCAATCCCACAGTGGTCCGCTGAAGAACGCCGTGTTGTTCATCGGGCACGGTTTCCCATGTGCCATTGTCCGCGTGAATTACCTTTCTTATGAGAGTTTAAGACTTACCATGATAGTTAAGTGTATCTGCAAAATGTGTTGTTGAGTTATCTCGGAAAACTTCATCGATATGAATTCCTGCGGATGATCTTTTATCTTTGTTTTCTAAGTACTCACGAATTCTACCAGCAATGGACCAGAACTCATTGGCTCAGTGTGGACAAATGTACGAGTATACAGTTGAAGGTGGCTGAGTGGAGAATAGGTCATTTCGAGTTGTTCGTCATTCAGTCTGATATATTAAAGCCGTGATTCTGACTCGTAGCTCAGTAGGTGAAAACTGCTCCGTAAGACGAACTCGGTCGGTTCGATCGCTTCAAATGAAGTGTATTCTCGATTTTCTTGCTGAGCAAACACGATCTGCTACTTCGTTCTTTATTCCGTTAAAGCTGACCTTTTTGCAGTTTCGCCTTCTTCATAGCCTGGAAGCAAGTTAACCGCAATCTACCCAGCCAAGCACCTTCATAACCAAGCGGGAGAAATGCCAAACCAAAATTTCACTCACACGAAACAGAGGATAGCTTATTCGCACAATCACATCTTTCTGCGTTGACGTTGGTCTCCACGAGACGTATTCGGTAGAAGACTTTAACAGAGCGGTTAGAGTGCAAAGAAGGTATTCTGGGTTCACTGTGATTGTATTGAAGTGTATTCACTATTTCACTGTGAATTCATACCGTGTCCTGTTGTAATTTTGTGCGCGAGAGAAACTGCTCTCATGGGAAGAATTGCAGGCTTCGGTTTGACTGATATGCTTCTGCAAGGTTCCCCGTGCTGCCTTCTGTAACCATGTTCAAGATCGAGTCCAGTCAGTTAAAAACAGCTGAAAAGCTTGTAATCCTGAACGATCGTGCTGTTGGTATGCTGACAAGGATTTACAACATAAAGAAAGCATGTGCAGGTGGGTGATCCAGTCAGCAGTAGTACATGTATTTGTCCAGTAAATGAGCAGCTCGTTTCTCTTTCAGACCCGAAATCGAAGCCTGCTTTCCTCGGCGACAAACATCTGGAGACCGCCATTAAGCACATAGCCCGGAAGTTTCCTGTGGTGGACGCAAGGATGAATGTTGTTGGTGGATGTATTTTACAATTTCAGTAGGCCGCTTATCCCTTACTAATCTTGACATTTATCTCAGTCCACTTTCCATCATGTGGACACAATGAAAGATGACATCATCAAGTCGTTGGGGCTATACTACTACACATTTGCTGACCTGATGGATTTGAAGGACAACATACTTCAGTTATTGACGACGATGGATGCTTGTCAGTGTCAGCTTGATATCGTATGTCATCCTCGATTGGTTCTTTTTGTCGTGTTTGGTTCACTGAGGATATTTACACTTCTGTTTTCAGTCATTAAACTATGAGCTCACTGCTGGCTATCTAAACCTAGTCGTGAATCTTATTTGTCTCATGATTTTGCTGTCACGTGTCGACGATCGCAAAGTTGTTCTAGGTCAGAACCGCACACTTTTCATTTCATCGGCAGTTTGATCCTTCATGAACTTGGTGTGTCCAATAATTTTTTCCAAGGACTGTTTAATGCTGCGTACGATTTGGCCCATGGTGAAAGTGAGTCATCTTTCCCGCGTTTGGGCCAAATGATTCTCGATTACGATCATCCTCTTCGGAAGCTTAGCGAAGATCTCGGTCCTCTTAATCGGGTAAAACTCATTATGTTGTTATTAATTCTATAATAATCACATAGTCTAAACTTATACAAACTTCTCTAACTGTCTTAGAACAAAAAGCGAGTAAAGTATGACATGTTCAATGTATTGTTTTGAGATGAGAGATAGCACCTGTCGTATTTCTTATCCGACTTACATCTATCGTTTGAGGGCTAAAATAGCTCAAATAGTAGTGACTACTTGCTTCTTTTGCCCATAAACATAGCTGTGATTTGTAGCTGATATCGTCAGCTCTCTGTTCTCTATCGTCAGTTTACCTTCGTCGGAATATCACGGCAAACACTTGGAGGAATGCTCAAATTCTTTCACTCACAGCTAATCCTCAGCAAATACTCTACGCTGCTCAAACGGACACGGTGGGGAGTTCCTTTGTGAAAATATAATAAAGGGTTTCTAATTGTTGCTTTAGATAGCATGTGAGTACCTGTCCTTGGATGTCATGGATCGTTGGATAGTATGTAAGTTGGTAGCCAGGTTTCGTACTCCTGACTCTGTATTCTTATTGAGTTTAGTGTGCACCATCGTATGCCACTCTTCTTTATTGAACGATAAGAACGTCTTCCATCTATGGCAAATGTCTCTTCAGATGGGGATTTGTCTGAGACTCTTCAGAGATGAGGTTATTTGTTTCTCTTATGCCTCTTCATTTCTGTGTTTCTCTCCATACATTATCTTATTTTTCTAGATATTTCACACACATCATGAAGTCCAACAGTTTTTCGACTCTATCAAAGGATTTCATAAGCGGTCACAAGAAGTGAAGGATTGGTACTCAGTAGCTTTGCAGCAAAGGTAAAGGATATTTTCTACATATGAAGACCTATACTGCTTTTTTTTGACAACTGCTTATAACTTCACTGTAACCTCAGTAGTTGTTAGCTGAGGAGTTGAAGGCGTAATAGAGTCATTGAAGAGGTGTTGCCCTAATGCACTGGTTTAGATTGCTCTGCCAAAATATTCTTTGGGTTTTAGGTTTGTTCAAATTTCAATTTTGCGAAAGATCGAGGGCGAAGTTCATGTTTTTAAAGTAATTAAGACAGTTGTTGTAGCTATTAACATCTGGTGTGTGGTGCTGATTGTCCTGCTTCTCGATAAGCTCTGTACAGTTGCTTTGATTTTCGGTATACTAGCATCGCGTGTGACGCAGTGATCGGAATCGCCCTCTAACACACAAACAAGAAATTGGCCCCAGCGCCACTGACTCACCAAGCCTTTCATCTCTCCGGGGTCGGCAAATTGGTACCAGACTTGTCTGGGGTATAGTAGTAATGGTTCAATACATCGGTGGGCCAGTGCATAGGATCACCTCTAACGATACTTAATGAAGTCGAGTGTATGGCGCATCGCTCAGGGATTGATCAACGCTTTATCCTTTATTTTTATTACTATCATTAACAAGAAGAGTTTTACGGTTTCCCAAAAACTGTTTTTCTATTTCTGTAGAATTAGAAGAGTTGCGCTTGATTGGCGAAGATCTGCAAACCCCAACTGTTTTTGTTCCAGTAGAAGTTAAGTGTTGAACTGAGATGTGACGCGCGTAGTTCAGTGGTTAAAGAGGCCCTGTCATGCACACATGCACCTCGGCACGAATCCACATCGCGACTGAGCAAGCCTCCCATTCCTTCTAGTGGGCAGTTTCGTACCAAACTTGCTTAGAAGGAGAAAAACACTGAAGTCGATTGCATGGCGTATCCTTTAGCGTTGATAAGCATCGTCGATTTATCCTTATAGATGTTTGTTGAAAGATGAGAGGTGTTTGTTCACGGCAATGCGTGCATTGAAGCAAATTCATTTCGTTCATTATCTGTTAACTTGTTTTTTAACGCTCCCTCTTTGAGCGCGTCTATTCACGCCGATCGGCGACGATTTCTGCGTGCTGCTCTTCGCGAGCTTTGTCTCTTCATGAAGGATCAGCCCGGTTTGCTTGGTCCAAAGATTCTATTCGTTTGGATGGCGCTTTCATTTACCAGAGATGAGTTGAGTTGACTGCTAAAATTATCACCCGCATGTCTTGTGTTAGCCGGTTTTGACGGTGTTTATTACAGGTTTTATGGCTTCTGCGTCATCTCAGTGAATGGCCTTCGTCTAACAAAAAAGCTAGCAAACAGTGTGATGAGCTAGTAGATCGACAGCTTCCTGAGCTTCTTTACTACATGCTTGAGCTGAGAGAACTTGTAGTAAAATATAGTGACGTAATCCAGCGATATTACTTGAAGGTAAAGCTTCGTATACGTTGTCCGCTTATGTTGCGGTGAATGTGCTTTGCTTATCTGAATAATTCTGTTGGTTTAGTACGTAAGCGGTTATGATGCCATCATGACTCGTGAACTGGTTTCTATGATAAATGACTTAAACGAGGATGAAGCGGTTATTTTGTCCGATTTCGCATCTTCTATCTCTTCCATAAATTCTGATTCCGACCTACGAGCTTTACGTCTGGATTGGTTCCGTTTTCAAGTGGGGATTTTGTTATTTATACGACTATCTCTTGTTTAGAAGGGTTCTCTCTATGTTTCGTAAAAGTTCTGCAACCATTCACTACTTCATTTAGGCAAGAACAAGTATGATGAGGTCAACGTTTTCGTTATCTAAAAATCGTAAACTTGCAATAGTCATGAACACCAACGTTTTTCACTTAAAAATGATCGATCTGCAAGAAGAGATGCTTAAGGAGACTAGTGATCTCAGTGTTTATTGGTAATTCTTGAAGTCAGATCTTTTCTCGCATGCCTTTCCTTACTTAAATATCTTTAGTTTCTACATTAAAATCTTGGAGAGGCAATGGAAAAGTTGTCTTACGTTACCCTCTCAGTCGCGGTTCACCCTTTGTTTCGCAAGAATTTGTGGACACTTCAATGCGGCTCTTCACGACATGTGCCCAGAGGAGAAAAATCACATTCTTGAAAAGGTACTCATATTTTTAAATTGTTGGTCATTAACTACTATTTTCTTTTAAAGTCGCTTGCTATATGCAACACGATACTGGATGATGTCTGTCAGTCAATCATTAATGTGATGAACGCACTATGTGAGCGCGAGCTAGCACTAGCAGAACAAACATCACCAAGCACGGTGAGTACAAAGCTCAATGCATACTTTTTAGATAAAGAGGGCTGCGTGCAGATGGTTCCAGTGTATTTTCTTCACGTTGTTTATTTTGTAATAGTTCCCAGGATCGACTTTCTATTAACCTCGGCATTGGAATATGAATGCGTCGTTTTCTTGTTCAGCAATCGCGAGGTTTTTAAACAGCATACATTTACTTCCATAGAAAAACACAATACAATACAACACTAGCTGACATTTCGGCAGTATCGCCTTCTTCGGTGCCATTTTTTCGTGACTTCCAATGAGGAAGTTTAGAACAGTTGATTATAGTCGCATATGGTTGACGACTCTTGTATTGTATTGTTTTTCTATGGAAGTAGATGTATGCTGTTGTTTATTTTGTTACGTAGACGGTTTTATCATGTTTTTGTCTTAAGTCGATGCCTTATCCAATACATATTTTGTCAGGTGTGATCTATGAAAAGGTATGCGCTACACTTGGTTATTTACAAAAAACCATTTGATAGGCGAATTTGTTCATAAGATTTGAATCGGACTTTGTGTATCAACATGTTAGCTGTATTTCTTCAGTGTAGGTCATAAGATAAGGGCATCTTTCCATGATCACCTGCCTTACCAGTTTGTCACATTTTGTCCGTTTTATCGTCATGTGATTCGAGCGGGAGCCAAGAAATCTTCCATCACTATCGCTTGCAAGAGTAGCCCAGTGCGACCTGCCTGCTCTAGGGATTCATTGAGCGCTATATCTTTCTCCTGCATTCTTCAAGAAGGACTCTGACCATCACGACGGTGGTTTTTTTCGACTGCGCGTTCCATAACGCTAAGTGATCCTTCATCCTGCTTACGTAGTGGCTATTCTTGTGGTCAATATATTAAGCGGGGAAGAATAGTGGAGTCGAACAGATCGGCACGCAGTCGAGATTTCTCTGTTCTCTTAACTATATCCTCGAAGCTCTTGAAAGATCGTCAAGCTGTTTGCTTCCTTCTGCTCAACGTTGGAGCTAGGTCGCTAATATGTTGACTTCCCGCCCTAGATAGACGTAGTCGGAACATTCGGAGATGTTCATCTCGTTGAGCGTGAATCGGACATGCGAAACTGATCTAGTCGTCTGGTCTAGCTCTAATTTCCGTACTTCTCGAGGAACTCTGTCGGCGATGAAGTTTCTACCCGAATACCTTTACTGAAGAAATGAGGCGCATTCGATGTAGTTTTGGACTCAAAACTTGGAAATATGAATGTATAACAGTGTTAGGTTTTTATTTGCTGCCTACTATAATTTGTCACACAGCGTACTATGAAAAATACAACCACAATGATGCTGAGATATTTGCAAAACTCCGGACCGCAGATATCTTCGATGAGGATCGAACGCAGTAACATTTCGAATATTTCCGCGGTCTAACGCGTTCACTACCACACCATGCGGGTTCTTTGTTTCGCTTTCCTGTCAGCTAGTTTTCTACCTAACTCATAACACCCCAATGTGAGAAAATAATATACAACCACAATGTTGGTGAAGTATTTGCAAAACCGTGATACTCTGCCGTAAGAAAATAGTGGACTATAAGATAAAGGTTACCCATAATTCAGTGTGACCCGTGGATGGTCGTTGTGTCTAGAAACATGAGATGGTACAAAAAAGAGCACAAAGAATACGTAGGACATAAAAAAACCGTAGAGTTGAAAGAAAAACTACCATGAAAAGCCGGATTATGGCGCGAAGAACGAGAAAATGGCTTGCTTATTTTAGAGGCAGAACGCACTGCATGCGTGGAGTTCAATGCGCACCGCGCGTAGGCGTACTGTGTAATTCCATTTTTCCTAATGCTTTATCTCTTCACCAGTTCTCCGCCGACTTTCGTTAGGAATGCGTTTATCTGGTGATTTTGGTAATGTGTCAACTAGTTCTTTAAAATACAAGCAATCGATTACGAAGTCGATTTACGGTTTTTTTAAAATGTAGCTTAGAGACTCGTGAAAGGTCTTTTTCTTCCCATTTGTTTTCGTTGAGTCGAAATATCTTAGATCGCAGCAGAAATCGTTTCACAAATTCTTCGCACCAAAGGGGGCAAAAATGCTGCGGTAGTTTCTGGAGTGCAAAAGGAACCAACCCAAGCTGGAGAAGAGAGCTATCGTACTGATAGACAAGTATTGACTTATGCGGACAAACTTCTAACAACACTGAGTCAGTTGTTATTTAAGTTTTCTTAAGGAGTTATTCTATTTCCTGCTGTGGAGTGTTGTTTGTTTTTCTCCATATTACGTCTTTGCATGGAAAACGTTTTTGGATACTTTAATTTCACAGTTGAACTCTGTTCTGGTATTGGTCAATATCGACAGCTTTTGGTATCGGATCATTTCTTCGCACCAAGAGAATACCTAAGTCAGCATATTGAGCACAGATTCATCGACATTATTTTTGCTATGGTTACTGAGCCTGGTACGTCTAATATGTTTTTGCTTTCTGATTTGGTTTGTCTAGTAGCAATGCTTTAGGATCTTCCATACCTCGGCGACCATCGGAATTATTGATGATAATTCAATCCTACATGAGCGTTCTTCAAAATATTGACGCCCTTGGTACGTGTTCTTGTATGGGCTAAGTAGCCTCAGACTAAACTTCAACCTCATTACATGCAGATTATATTGCTTTTTTTAAAAGATCTGATAAAATTTGTAAATGTTATGGCATGATCTATAACTCCCATTGTCGCTCTTTCGTATCATTTTTCAAACCAGCTATCGATGATATGCAAGTCGTTATAGCAGAGCAAATAATGATTTTTTTTAGTACCTTTGGATGTAACACGACTATTCAACAACGTGCTTCTCCAGCAAACGCAACCTCTTGACTCACGCAACAAGGAGACAATGACCTACATGTATACCAAATGGTAGCGCTTTTTTTTTTGAAAACGTGTGAAACATAGGTGAAACACATCGTTTGTTAAAGCACAGACAGTGTAAAGCAGCTTTTGCTGGTTTTCTTGTTCTGAAGTTGAAATATAGGTATTTGGAAGTGGTCTTACGACGTGCTTCGGCTGGCCACATGTTATGGAGTGAACACTTACAGGCGATGGTCTCTAATGGAGAATGTAACGACTTCGCTCCGGAACAATACACCGATCCTCGCGGTGCGTTTTCTTCAAATTTTAGGAATTTTAAACCATTTTTTAAACTTCTGTTGTCGTAATGCGTTATTATTTCGGATACTAAGTGTTATGCGCCACGCGTATAATTTTAGAGAATATTAAACATAATTCACAGGACTCTTTAATAGAGTTCTGTGTATGAGTTACATTGTCACCGAGATTATTATTTTTAATAAATTTTTAACATTCTCACCGAGATTATTTTCTACCGTATTTGGAAATTCAATTTTAGAATTGCGATGCTTGTCGCAGATAATAGGTCCATATGGAGTGAAATACCTTGCAGAGAGATTGACATGGCACGTTGCAAGTCAGATTGGTGAATTGAACAAGGTTTGTTTGGACCTACACTGACTTTTCTTCGATGAACGCAAAGACGGATTATCGGTTATTTCGAAGGAATCATATGAATAAAAGGCTTTCATCTTTCACTGATGATTAATTAGGTTTTGTTCCAGGTAGTTGTTGCAAATAAAGAAGTTCTCCACATTGCTAGGACCCAGTTTGATTGTAATGAAAGAATGAAGGAGGTTATGCAGGCTCTCTCACATGATTCAAAGGATAAGAAAGTTGGAGCTATTTCTGTTTCATTGCCATTTTAGGGCAGTTTTATTTTCTGGAGTAACAAAATCACCTATTCATTATCCCTAACAAAGCTGTTTGAGGGAACATGGAGCTCATCTGCTGATGCAATTCTTCAACGAACGGCTATTATCGGACAGATTTTCAGTTTCAGAGATGCACTCCACATGGCGTTAGAACAGGCAGGTGTATATCCTGTTCTCGTGGTCTGCGTTCCCATATATCTGTCTTGTAACTTTCACTGATGAAAATTCAGGATAAAGCTTTCAATGACATTAAACCCTACAAAGTGTAGCTTCAGGTCCTTCTGCAGCGCTTGCCATTTCTTATGTCTTCTTTCACGAATTTATACTGTAGTATGGATGACACTGGGAGAGCTGTAAGTCATTTATTTATTATTTAGAATGATAAGAATTTTTAGTTATAGTTATTTTTTAGGCTTTGGGAGAACTGGGAGCCGCCATGGGCATACAAGGTCCTATCGATATTGCATTATCAAATGCTGTTCGTGCTCAAAGTCAACAGGTTTGACCTTTAATAATTTTTGTAGCCTTGAAATGACTAATTGGGTTTTTTAAAGACAGACATTGAGTTATTCTCAGAGTTGATCAGTAAATTACTATGTTACTATGTTTACACGACACGAAATTGTTAGCTTGGCGATTCGTGGACCTGAGTTGGTTTCAACTCATATTTTGGGCCAATGGCGATAGACTGGCAAGTATGAATTGATTTCCACGCATTATTTTCGGTGGATTATTTCAATACAGTTATTTTGATATACGTTTTGCATTCAACCGTTAACTTCCCTACCACATATTGTATTCAACTTGCCCAAGGAGAGCAACTTCTAGAAAACAGCGTACTAGTTTGTTTATCCCGGGAATAGACCGTTGTTGGCGAAGAGCTCAGTTAGATTTCTCCTGCCACAGAAACTTACTTGTAAAGAAGGTGTTAAGGTATTCTGACGCAGACACAGTGTAGGCAATCATTTGTGTGCTTCCACACTGTTTCTTTCGGAATACTGCAGGTAATCATCTCCGTCGTGCTAAAACTAATTTGTTTTACGGTATGAAGTCTTTACAGTGAGCACTTTTTACTTACTGTTTACAATCATTGCAATCCACAAGCTTTAGAATTTGCATTTTGGTGTCTGTTCTAGAAACAATCGAAGCGGATATTTGGTACATTACCATCTCCTACCAACCCTTCTACCCGAATGAAACGTGTTGAATAGGGCGTTCAATTTGTTCATCGGTATTTTCTCCATATTTTTATAATGGACCCTTCTTTCTAAGCGCGACGTATGACTAAATGGAGGAGGAGCCGCACGTACCTAAACTATGAAGTGGAATGTTTACATGCATAATTCCTTAGCTTAACTGAAAACGTAATGACATCTGATGGGAAGATCTACGTTTTTCCGACATTCGATGAACTGCACTATTAAATGGATTGGCAGAAAGCGTCGCATCATACACTTTTTGCAATGATAACTTGATACCGCTCTGATCTTGTTAGATTTTTGGCTGTTGTCTATTCATCAAATGAATCTGCAGCAACTTCCTAACTAAGGAGACACTCATGTACTCATGTATCTATTAGCTGTGTACATTTGCTTTTATCAACTGGTGTACCTACATTGACTGTCATCGTCTCTAGCATAGCCACATCTCTCGTTCAAAACATATCCCTACTGGTATACAGTACTGTGTGCGTGTTGGCATTTGTTTGCTCAATTTGAGCAACTTTATCTCATTATAGGACATATTTATACCCTTAAGAAATATGATTTTGTAATGAAAATGTCTTGACTTGTCGATGTACACTCTTCTTTTGCCGGATATGTAGACTGTAGACGCTTTTGCAATTTCTATTGACAATTTCATTAACTGGTCTGATCTCGCACAAGTTGTGTTAGTCAGTGCACAATTTCTCCCTTGACATAGACTACTACTTACGAAGATGGTACGTTTGGACAGAACTGAACTCACAATAAGCCCTCACCGTGGGAGTCCAGCATTTCACATTTTCATCCTTGTGCTACTTAGTGTTTTTATCTCAGCGACAGTTGTCGGTTTACGCTACTTGTCTTTTTTTTGTCCATATATTTTATCTTTCACAACCAAATTTTAAATATCCGCCTCAAGTAATCTAATAAAATACTATAGTTCCTTGTCTCCAACCAGAAGGAGTTGATCTGCTCTAATTTGCCTGTCACAGAAAAAATTCAAAAGCATCTTGAGAAATCATGGTGTTGGGATACTTACCACTGAGCTCATTGTCATCACCATCGCTTTCATGCTCGGACTCTTACGTAGTCAAATACTTAAATTACCACCTTCATATATCATGCGAGTCCCATCACGTCTTCTCTTAATTTGTTGTATTACAACTATTGTCTATAAAAGTTCTCATTCTGGTGTATGGGTTGGACTACAACCTAATAAGTGTCTGTCGTTTTCTGTCATTAAAACTTTGATTAGCTGGTTGGGTGTGGTTTTCCCTGGGACCCGATGATAGCGATGGAATGTTGTCTCCAGGTCGTTACTAATGTCGCCGTTGAGAATCGAAGTGAGGTTCATTGACTTGTCACTTAAATTACACTGGACAGCAATAATCATTATGGGGAGGCGAATCCTTGATTAGTTGACCAACTTCTTCGTATAACGTTCAGAGGATGTAACAAGTGGACTTCGATTTTCCGAATTTTTTTGTCCAAATTCTTCGGCAAGAGGCTTATTTTCTTCCGTTCTCTGTTCACTAGCGGCGACAGTGAAGCGTTTAGAACTCAATTTTTTTTAGTTTTTTTTTTGTACTGCTTGCTTTTAGTACTACGTAAAGTTGTAATTCTAAGACAAATACATTAGATTGGAGATTTTTGGGGTGTTTTTAGTTCAGTTCCAAAAGTTAGCCTAGATGGCGAATGCTTAGTTACATAATGTGACTTAGTCCTATAGCTTACATTAACTTCACGATTGCAGCTGACTAAATTTGTTGCGCAGTGTGAACTCTTTACGGTCCTACTTCCTAAGGAGTAGACGAGGAAACCATTAATGAGCATCAATGTAAATTATTGAAACGCTTCAAATTTAGCTTCTGAGTTTTCTATTAAATTTGTGGAGATTTCTTGATACCACGTAGGTTAACCATCCGTGTCAGCTGATCTGGAACGCAGATATATGTTTCTTTTTCGTTAACGTACTTTTGAAACAAGAGTCAATTTTTTTCAAGGAAAGTGCGATTTTTTCTTCATATTTAGTCTAGTTTTTCAGTCTTAGGATATTAAACTTTTTGTTTATCCTAGATGAATCCTGACGAGCATTACCAACTTAGTTGCCTTCTATTAGTCGCAATCGCAATAAGTTTGCCTAAATTGGCGTTTATGGAAAGTGCGACGTATAAGCCCAGTCTAAGAGGTAAGTTCTGTTTTTTTTCCTTTATATATTTCAAAAATGGGATCACAGGCGTCGCAGTGGTTGGAGATGCCGTTCAGTACGTCTGCCTTGGATGCCTTTAAGACTTCGACTTGGTAGCAACTGGTTTTAATTCACAAAGACTGCTGAGTGTTAGCGGTGAGGACGTGGAAGCTCTCTATCCTCGACATTACAAGCAGACATTCTCGACAACATCCATCCTGTCAGTTGGGCTGGCACATCGTCATGAAAGCACAGTTCTCAATAAAGGCTCAGTGATATATATATCTATGTATGTAAAAGCGTTAGGTAAATAAAAAATAAAATAAAATAAAAGCAAAAAGTAAAGTGAAAATAATAAATAAGCAAAGTAAATAAAATGAAAATGTACTCGTACATATAGGCATGTTTTTTATTCGATTCGTTTCCTCAACATCCATCATTCACAAGCATGTGGCTTTGGCTGTTGTTTAAGAATTTGGAGTTCGTGTGGAATGTCGTTGAACGGTGGTTGAGTAATTCCCATGACCGACTTTCTGTTAACCTCGGCATTAATTGATAATTCAATGTTTTTCATCAATAAGCAGACACGAGGTTGTTAATATAGAATTTATTAGAACACAATTGCTGACGTTTCGGCGGTTTCGCCTTCTTCAGAGCCTGGAAAGGTCAAATTGAGATGCGATCTACTCAGCCAAACACTTTCATAACCCCAGCAGATAAAACTTGATAAATCGATTTGTATTCGCATAAGAAACAGCTTCATTCAAACACCTACCGTTTATTTGTTGTAAGTATTTAAGTTAGTTGGTGGATAGCCGCCGCACAGAGTAATACATGGTCGATAACTGGGTCCATGTCAGATCATTGGATCAGCCTGAGGTATGGCGCTAGGTCACGCGTGATGACAAGACACTCCTCCTTGCGGTTCATTTTTGAATTTTTGGCATTGATCCAAAACGCTTCAAGAGTTTTTCGCGCGTGGAGTGGTGGTTGAGTAGATTCCCTTGGAATTCTGAAACATCTGTGCCAGGTTCCCACGTCATCACTACTGGTAATCGCCAGCCTTTTTAAATCGGAGGAACTTTTCTGAGAAAAATCTGGTACCAATATGTCGACTCGAAGGTACGGGAGGTTTAGTTGTCGTGAGGCGAGATTACACAAGGGATCGTGCGCGTATTACTGAACAGTATCTCTACCACTACATATATATATATATATATATATATATATATGATATATGTGTATATCTACGTAACATATATGTATATGCATTGTAAAAGCTAATTTGCAAATTTTAGCCAGTTTGAATAACATGCACTGCATTCCTTTGGCCGTGAACACAGTGGCTGGGGCGTTGTTTCACTACCACGCCCGAGGTGATATACATCTTAGAATGAAAGAATTCCTTGCGGTAGGGTGATACTTTTCTAATTGACTCGTGCGCTATATAATGTTGACGATATGATGTGATTTTGTTAGAGTTCCAAATATATTGTATTTGAGCTTGCATCAAGCAGCGTGCTACGGATAGCTCAGGAACAGGATGGACGGCAGGATGCTGTTAGCAACCAATCCGCACTGTACGTAATGCTTGAGCAGGTGATATGTATATATATATTTTACTAGTTAAACACTGTTTCCAAAATAGGTGCTGTTTTAATATCGAGATTAATAAGTTCTTGACGAGGTGATACCACATGTGTACAACTGTTGTAGAGTGTTGGCCGTTTTGTTGAGTCTCCTCTTTAATGGAGCCTGCAGATAAGACTTTGGTCGTTCATCTTTTGCAACCTTGATCAAGTATGTCGCACTAAAACACAATTGATCAAAGTTTGCTTATCAACGCACTGTATCAAAGTATATCAACTTCATACCAGATGTATTAGACATTTAATAATATGGACCTATAATATGGTATATATTAATGAACACATAGTATAGTATATATCACATATGTGATAATATTAGTAGTATATATATCTTTTATTTTTATTTTGTTTGATCCTTCACGTCTACTATGCAGCACATGTTTGCTGAATAACAGTCTCGCGATTGCTGAAAAAGAGAAAGACACAAGAATTAAATTTCGAATTTGACGATAGTTTTCGAGCTATCTAATATATGATAAACCAGAAATCAATAATTTGGGAAAACACTTTGCTTTTAACTGTCTCTCAGGACCAAATGATCACCTTGAGAGATGCAAGTGTTCTCGCGGGAACGCTTTCCTGAAGGAATTGACTTTTTAAATCGCGTGTTTTCGTGAAAGTGAAAGAAGAGTTGCAGTTTGTGAATAAGTGTCGATGGTTAACTATGGATGTGTTGGAGGCCTGCTTTCCTTACAGTCTTGTAAGGACGGCTTACCAGCATTGCTATCAACAAGAAGCTGATGCATTCTGACAGTGTAGTGGACTTTGTTAATTTCCACTGTATCTACTTCAACTCATATTTTTTAGTCTCTCAAGCTTGTGATCAGCGGAGATGATCGTGTTTATTACTTGTCGTTTGCTATGTTATAAATTTTAACTTCTTTTACCTTTTGTGATATTATTGTGTGGTTACATTTAGTAATCGACGATCTAGTCATTGTTGTAGTTTTATTTTTTGGTTCAAATTCTTTCTGTCTTTTTGTCGCACATCCTAGAAGTCTGGCTGTTGAGCCAAAATTAATCTCTCTCTGACGATGGGTATGTTCTTTCGATGGATGTAATTTAAATGAAGTTTTTAATTTTCTGTTATTTCATTAATTGTCAATCAAGTAAAAGTAACGGAGTGGGAGATGGGATGGTAATTGGTTCCTTTTCGTCTACCTCAATACTTATTCGAAACCCTTGTCGAAAAACTATACTAGTAGAGTGTGCTTTGTCATTATTACTATTATTATTATTATTATTATTACTATTATTATTATCATTACTGTTAATTATTATTATTATTATTATTGTTAATTGTTATTATTATCATTATTAATTATTTGTTATTATTATTATTGTTATTATTGTTATTATTATCCTCTCAACAGTTTACCGCCTCATAGTGGCTAGGAGGTGTTCCTGGGTGTCGGCCTGCGATGTACAGTGGGGGATTCATCCTCTTAGCAGGGTCTGCCAAGCTGAGAAGGAGTCCAGCGCTGGCATCAGTAAGCCTAGCTAAGAGTAAATCAATACTAAGATCCACCACTGTCCTGGTATCAAAGTTGCATGATGGCAAATCTCCCTCTAATCCAAAAGGGCAGCGACTGCCTGTAGTGGTGAAGACCTGGGGCCGACTTTGGCGAGGTTGGCCTCAGGATTACAGGGAACCACGAAAATGTTTAATAGTTGAAGACCTTGACTAGCAAATCTCCGAAAAGTGGCGATTATGCTGGGGCCCGCGCAACCAGTGAGGACGGGTTGTTCAAGTATCAAGTATTAAGTTGTTGTGTTCCTAGGTCTTTAATTATTAAATATTTTCGCCAGGTAGACATACTTGGAACATTTTTTAAATCGTCTAGAAATTTGCCGTTTTTTCTACGGGTGCTAGACCCCAATGCCACTCTTGGATTCCTTTCTTGCCTTTCAACAGTTGAGGCGGTACTATGATCCTACCTCGTACCGCACAAACATTTCTGCTATATCTACACCTGATGTAACTATACTGAATCGATAGCTTGTTCCATTATGGCAAATGATTGAGAGGCGTGGTCCGAGGAGTATGAAAGCTTACGAGAAACAGCTGTTGAGACTGGTTTTGTCTGTCTTCATAAATCCTATGATCATTTCACTGCTTGGTGTACAAGTAAAATAACACAGATAGTGGTGTCGATGAGAGGTGTACTAAGGTATCCCTGTTGTAGGTGTTCATGGGAATTCGACACCGAAGTGATTTCATCATGGCAAGGTGCTATGGTGTGGAATTAAAGAGATGTATAAAATAAATGGGTATAAGACGGATAAGGCGTTCGCAAAGTATGCATCTCTTAATAACTCGAAAGACCGACTCACTATGAACCTCGGCATAAGTAGTTGATATATTTATTTATGTGATCGTATAAACGTGTCGTTGTCGTTGATGGGGGACTCGCATGTAACATCACGGCTCTGAGGAAGGCGAAGTCGCCGCAACGTCAGTCATCGATCAATAACATCAAAAACAACGACAACGACAACGACAACGAAGATCTGTACCAACCTCGCGTCAGCTTAAGAAGATCAGTTTATTAGATCACATAAATAAATATATCAACTATCTATGCCGAGGTTTATAGAAAGTCGATCTTTCGAGTTATTATGATAGCAGTAGTTAACGATTTACTGGAGTTGCTCGTGGCCATGCTTATTGCACAGTGTTACCAGCTCATCGTTGCCCATATGATCGCTTGGCCCAAGTGATAATACTCATCGAAATGCTCAATGAATGCCGTCTGTCTCTTTACTGAATAGAAAGCGACTGATAGAAGTGACAGAAAACAGTAGGTTGTATTTCACAAAGCACTATGAAAATGTAAGAGGTAGTAAATAAATGTTAAACGTTGTGATTTCGACTGGAACTTCAGCTGAATTAAATGCTGATTTATTCTGCCCAGATCATTTCCGTTGGCAGGTGATTGCTTATCGCCGTTAGAGTAAAAAACTAGCTGAGAGAAAGGCAAGAAAGGGTACCGGTTGGTGTGGCGGGCGGCGCATGACCCTCGGAAAGGGTGACGACGGGTTCGACTCCATCTGCGGTTTTGAGTTTTGCACATATCTCAGCATTCTTGTAAGGAACGGGGAGTTTAAGCAAATAAATCTTGACAAAATGCTTCGCCATGATGCAAGGTCCAGCCAACTCCTTGATTCCGTTGTGAGAAACTGATTGGTACAACCAGAAAATGTGCCCCTATGTGCATCCTTATACATGTATTCAACTGTATTATTTATTCCCTGCTGTTTTCCTGGCACGTGGCCCGTAGTAATCACAAGCGCATCGCAATACACAGGTAATCTAATCAGTCAGTGGTTCTATCTCGCACTCCGGCCTCACCAAACTTTCCATTTCTCCAGTGTTACCAAATTGGTGCCAGAATTGTCTGGACGACAGAAACACTAGCTTGACTAGCGAAGTACAAAAATCATGTGCTTTTGAATGATTTCTGAATTGACACAGTTCACTCTTTGGAATTGAATTTCTTTTGAGACTTGTTCATAACGGTCCATCGTTCATTCCATATCATCTTTGTCGCAGATGAATTTCCTGTCAGATTTCACCAGCTGTCGAATGAAGATGGGTACGGCTCTCCAACAGAAGAATGGAGTTGGACGAATATTTGTAGCCAAGGGATACACTGTTTAATATTGTGTTAGTAACATTAACGAGTAGAGACACATCTAAGTAAACTTGTAAAAGTATAGTTAGTATGTGAAACTGGATCAATGATTCCTTTTCTTCTTCGAGAGTAGCTAGTGTTCCACATGAATCAGCATGGTGCGATTCACTCTTTTGGATTCGTATCGTTATGCGGTCTGTCATCATTTTGAGTGCTCTCTCACTTTGCGTTCTTACGACTGATATTAGAAAGGTGGGCGCTGGAGCTCTAAAAAATACCAAATAACGTCGGCTATTCAGATTCTCAAAATGAAAACTAGCAACGTGAAATCGTGGCTGCTGGACGCGAATAAGCTCCAGTATGACGTTGAATGCGATTGGTTACTTCCAGAAGAGAGAGATTTACGAATCTCTGAAGGAAGATGTCCACCTGTCAAATCCACCACGTAGGTCATTTTAAGTACTGAGGTCCACGATCCGTTTTGGGAGTTAATTGCAAATCTAGGATAATTCCTTAGAGACTTTTCGTTGAATTTTATTATTACATATTATATTAAATATTTTGCTCCAGTTAGAATACAGACAATAACAAATTCAACTTGGGCTATGTATTTGAAGTGTTTTAATATTTTCAATATACATACGCAGACATTTTTCTGGGAACATGTAGCGAGCGATAGTGACGCTGATCAATACGAGCACGGTGCTGGTTCAATTCCGTACCGGGCTCACTAGGCCTATCATCCCTCCGTGGTTGGAAAATCAGTACCAGACTTGTCCTGGAACAATTAACTCCTTCCAATCAACGTGGAGACGTTCTAGCCAGGCTATCTCGGTGACTCCATGGAGAACTGACTAGACTAGAATTCGATGACATTCATAAAGAGCAAAACGCTCCTCAAAGAGCACCTGAACACACACACGAAGAGTTCGAAGATCTTCATGGATAATGGATGCGTGGAAACTAATGGGATACAAGAAGTGCTGGGGTCCACTGAGTAGATGGGAAAGCTGGGTCGTGCAAAGTAAAAATGATAGATATTTTAACTGAGGTGAATTTCACTATAGTTATAATGCAAACAATTATTCTAATCCCTTCTTTTATGTGAAATACTAGCCAGATTGTTCATGCGATTGCTGTGTTGTTGAGGTGGAGGGTTGTATGATGCCACGCTATAAACGAATCCAATTGAGAATCCACTGAGAAGAGTGGTCTCAGATCGGTAATAGTATTGTTTCAACGCTTCCTAATACTACTTGATCATTAGGTTTCGCTTAGGCCATTTCATTCCCTTAACATGAGACGTCAGTGATCTCCCATCTATAAATCAAAAGTAAATGGTGAAGTTCGCGAGGTGAATTTCCTCCACTTTGTTGTTTCAAAGTAATTTCACTCAGATATTTGCAATACTAGGAGCCAGATAGCATAGTGGTAGTGATGTCGGCCGTCACGAGCATGGCGCTAGCTCGATTCCGCTCCGGCCACCAATCCCGTCATCTCTCCGGGGTCGGGAAATTGGTACGGGACTTCTCCGGAAAACAATCACTCCTAGCAATATATGCATATTATCCAATTGGGAACGCTTCAGCCCAGCTGTCTCAGCACTCCAGGGAGAATCGACTCAAGCAGCACTCTCCTACATTCAAAATGAAATGAAAATCGTATGAAGTGCTGAGATACTTGCAAAACTCCGGACCACAGGTGTATGCAGTGGGGAACGAACACGCGCTAGTGTCCTTACCGGGGAGCAGTTAGTTCTAAAAAAAAGATCGATAGAACTAGCTGAGATACATGCAAAGCGAAGGACCCGGATGGTGTAGTGGTGAAGTGCGCTGCTCCCCGGTAAGGACAACAGCGCGTGTTCGTTCCCCACTGCATACACCTGTGGTCCGGAGTTTTGCAAGTATCTCAGCACTTCATACGAGTTATATTTCACAACATACCCTGCCATTAAGAAGAAAAAGGCAGTAAATAAAAGAGNCCCGGTAAGGACACTAGCGCGTGTTCGTTCCCCACTGCATACACCTGTGGTCCGGAGTTTTGCAAGTATCTCAGCACTTCATACGAGTTATATTTCACAACATACCCTGCCATTAAGAAGAAAAAGGCAGTAAAT